CTGTTCTGCCCAAGGAATATATTACCTAAACTCAATTTGTCAAAATCTTTCGGATTTTGGGGTAATCAATCCTCCTCAACTTTGTACTTGATTTTTATTTTTATTCTTTTTTTTTTTTAATTGAGCGCCACCGGTGAGTCTTTTGTAGACAAAACGCGCGTCTGGTGTACAATATTTTAAGCCTGGTATCTATTAGTCTATTTGTCTTATTTTTATGACTTGGAATCAGGTATATTTTGAAAACTGAGAAAAAGGATGTGGATACCACATAAGTTTATAACTTTGACCTCTACGCTCAAAATTCAAATCCTTCTGGTAGTGAATATTCATATCAAGTAAGAATGAACTCGGGTGTAGGATAGTAATTGGAGCCCACACATCGGGCCCTGCTAGAGTAAACAACTAAATTGTGATTCTAATTATAACACTTTCAGGAAGAAATCAGTGTTATTCGATTTAAATATAGCCTACAGTCACGAATGAAGATATTTTCTAATGCACCACTAATTTAAATTAAAACACCAAAAGATTTTAAAGTTAAAAGAGGCTGAAACAATTTTTGTAAATATGCACATTCAATATATTTGGTGAATAATTTAAATTTAATTTTTGACAATGGCTTCCACTGTACGGTTTCTTCCATGCACAAACTATACCTTCAAGTAGTGGTGAATAGTCAAGTTTCATAACCCAACTCAAAGAAGTTGGCAGAAATAATTTGTGATCGACAGACTGATGCATGGACAAACTGTTCACTACAGGCCTTTTGTTGATCAATTGACGGGGCATTTATTGTCTCCAAGTGTTAAAGAAATGAGCAAACAGAACTTTCAAATTTGACTTTAAATGATAACTGTCAACTGTTTCTGACCTTGAACTTTAGCAAGATATTTCAAATCTTTTTTGCAACACCTTCTTTGTTCCAGCAAACTCTAATATCAAGTGCATGTATTATTAATTTACTTCTGGTTACTCAAAACACAGCTGACATCGTTTGTTTGGTATACGGACGGTCTTACAGTGGGCAAACTTTAACTTTGTTTGTCATTGAATTTTGATTATTTTGTATTGGTGATTACTCATACTGAGCAGCCTCAATTTACTCCAAGGATATTTGAAATATACAGCAGCTGGGATAGGCAATTTTCAATACGTTTGTAACATAAACTTTGGCGTAGATTCTCTTAGTTCTGATAGAGTTTAGCTTTCATTAACCAGACGATGAGCATCATCAATTCACTTCATAGTGGTGTTCATTGATTGCTATTGCTAAACGTCACCATTTGTTTTTTCCATATGTGAGACAACTTTCACCTAATTTTGTGACCTTTTACCCTAGATTCAAATCTATCAAATATTTTTAGCTCTATTTGCTGTTGAAAAGTATAGCTAAAATTTCACATCCAAAAAATAATGCCTTATGTAGTAACGCAGATTCTTGCAAAACGAGAAAATTACACCTTCAAGTCTTTTTTGCTGCTACTCAGAATTTGTACAACGTCACTCGTGTCTGAGCAGAAAGTTGGTGAACCAGGGGTATGTCAAAGAACGTCTTGTCTTTTTTCTAAAAAAGTTAATCGGAAGATACTAAGGCCTTGTTGACAACTATTCTGTATCAACTTCACAAATAATGACGTATAGATTCTAGGTACTGACGTTGTTTATCATCTTAATAACGTGTTACAGTATTCTTTTATTTGTCTTTGTAAACTATTACTTTTACTGTTTAGTCTAATTTTGCTAATATCAATTTGACGTGGCTCAGGACTTATACATCCCCTCATTGTGTTATTATGCTATAGTAAATTTTTGTATTCTTGTCTTTCGTTTTTGCTAATGTGCTTTGTCTATATGCCTTTTTGTTTTTCTTTGTTTACATATTTGTTTGTTTTTATAGTGATTAAGATTATAACACATTGTTGAATGCTATACCCCCAATTTATTACATTTTTACCTATTGTGTCTATTTGTTTTGTTCACACATCATTGTCAATATAATAGAATTTTATGCAACTGTTATACAAGTGAGAGGTTTGGCTGGCTGTAAAACCAGGTTTGGTCCACCATTTTCTACATTAGAAAGCGCCTGTACCAAGTCAGGAATGTTACAGTTGTTTTGCATTCGTTTGGTGTGTTTGGGCATTTGATTTTGCCATTTGCTTAGGGCCTTTCCGCTTCGAATTTTCCTCGGAGTTCGGTGTTTTTGTTATTTTACTTTTTTTATAGGTAAATCTTCAACAAAAGCCTACACAAAATATCCTGAAATAGAGTAAATGCAATTTGGGTTCAATTAACAGAAGTTTGACCAGAAAGATTTGTTTTAAGATATTACCTACAATAGTAGTGAAGCATTATCTTTTGGGTCCGTGTGCTTTTATTTTAATTCCATCTATTAGACTGTGCTGCAGCAGTTTAAAGGTTTGAAATTGGGATTTTTAATAATCTATGAAGTTGTGGTCACCATAGCTTAGATGCCCATAGATATATTCCAATTGTCGTTACTGCAATCCTGTCCTCTTTTCCTTGATTGTGACATTACTTAACGAGGCCTTTCATATTTTAGGAGCAACATGAAGGGTACCACATGTCGAGCAGGAACTGTTTACCCTTGCAAAGCACCTGACGTTCACCCAAAGTTGAAAGAGGATTATAGGTTGCCCTATCTTTAGATTTACCTATACCAAACCAATTGCAACTAAAATTTTCAATTACAAACACGTTTTGCAGGATCTCAACATTGACGACTTCAAGTCTAAACCTCCTGATTGCACCTGTGCTAGTTCCCAATTCACATATAATCCGGCTGGCCACGTTATTACCAGAGACCTCAACATTGTCAATAACACTTCCCTGCGAAATTTGTTATCCAAAGGTCCGAAATATCGTGAGCCTAAATCCATCAATTGGAAATACAACTTCAAAATACTGATGGATTCAGTTGAGGATTATGCCAGGCAATGGGCTAAACGCGAGAAAGAATACGAAGATACTCTTTCCGAATGGATTAAGGCTGTGAGGTCGTTGATACAAATCCGAATTAAGAAACTGAATGGGTCTATCAATACCCACGCTACGTCAATTTTTAAAGACCCAAATGTTGCAAAACACTTGTCCTACCTCCATGACAAATATGTTGTTGTCCCCGCAGATAAAGACCCAAACAACATCGTGTTTTGTGTAAATATCATTACACAAACTGCTTGACTCAAACCAAAGAGGAAATCCTGGATAATCATAGGTCTGTTCTATGTTCCTTTGGAATTTCAACCAAAGATGAAGAACTGGATCTTCCATCACTGTATTGGATACCTAAACTACATAAGTGTCCATACAAACAACGGTATATTGCTGGGTTTTCCAAGTGCTCCACGAAACCTCTTTCTAAATTATTAACATCTGTTTTATCAGCAATCAAAGCCGGGCTCCAAAGTTATTGTGAAACTGCCTATTCTAGAGGTGGCATGAATCAGATGTGGATACTAAAAACGTCCAAAGATCTTTTAGAGTACATACAATCTAAGACTCTCTCATCTTGCAATAGTATTAAAACATTTGACTTTTCTACACTTTACACAAGTATTCCCCATTCCAAACTAAAAGACAAATTGAAAGAGTTGGTTTTACTTTGTTTCATTAAAAAGAATGACGAACGTAGATACAAGTATCTTGTCTTGGGTAGGGATAAATCCTACTTTGTAAAGAATCACTCTGATTCAAACAAAAAATTCTCTGAAACTGACATTATCAAGATGCTTGATTTCTTGATTGACAACATATTTGTTACGTTTGGAGGACGTGTTTTTCAACAGACTGTCGGAATTCCAATGAGAACCAATTGTGCCCTTCTTGCCGACTTGTTTCTTTATTATTATTATGAGGCTGACTTCATACAGGAACTTCTTAGGAAGAAAGATAAGAAGTTAGCAATATCCTTTAACTTTACGTTCCGCTATATAGATGATGTTCTCTCACTAAATAATACAAAATTTGGTGACTATGTTGAACGAATCTATCCCATCGAACTAGAGATAAAGGATACTACAGATACAGTTAAGTTTGCCTCATATCTTGACTTACATCTAGAAATTGACAATGAAGGTCGGTTGAAAACAAAACTTTACGACAAAAGAGATGATTTCAGCTTCCCAATTGTGAACTTTCCATTTCTATGTAGCAACATTCCAGCAGCGCCTGCATACGGAGTATATATCTCCCAATTGATACGATATTCCCGGACTTGTATTTCCTATCATGATTTCCTTGATAGAGGATTGCTGCTCACAAGGAAGCTATAAAACCAAGAGTTCCAAATGGTTAAGTTGAAATCATCCCTTCGTAAATTTTACGGACGCCATCACGAGTTGGTTGACTGTTATGGAATAACTGTTTCACAGATGATATGTTCCTTATGTCGTAACTACAATACCCTTACCTTTTCACGAATGTGACCTACCGAATTAGACTATTTACCGGATTTGTAATAACATAAGCAACACGCCGGGTGCCACATGTGGAGCAGCATCTGCTTACCCTTCCGGAGCACCTGAGATCACCCCCAGTTTTTGGTGGGGTTCGTGTTGCTTAGTCTTTAGTTTTCTATGTTGTGTCATCTGTACTATTATTTGTCTATTTGTCTTTTTATTTTTGGCCATGGCGTTGTCAGTTTGTTTTCGATCTATGAGTTTGACTGTCCCTCTGGTATATTTCGTCCCTCTTTTAGAGCTTTCTTTTTAGGGTTAGGGGACTTGCTTGTCTTTTCGTCGTTTTTCCTTTTTTTTTTTACATGCCATTGTCAGTTTTTCTTCGACTTATGAGTTTTAAATGTTCCCTTGGTATCTTCTGGCTTTTTTTTCAAAACTTGTTAACTATGGTGTGACCGTTTTAAACAATATGCCAAATTATTGTTTTGACCCAAATTTATCTGTTCACAGTGTGAAGTGAATTGGGTTAAGTGTCCTACGGACACATTTTTTTGTTTATATTAATACAAAAGGACAAGATTTATTCTAAAAGTTTATTAGTAAATTACATTGATGTTATTTCACAAACTGTAGTATGAATATAAACAGTACAATGTGTATTTGTGTTTACATGTAAACAGAATGATAAATGTAAATAGTACAATGAATGATTCATACAAAAGTTATCATCCTATTATCAGATAAATAACTCATTTATACTCTCTAATCTCTTCCTGCTTTCACAAACCCCTATCAATGGTACAGGTTCTATACTTTTGCTTAATCATCTAAACTCTTGTACAGATATAAACAAACTCTTAACAACAGACATTAATAAAACAAAAACACACTGGTTTTCATAATGAAAAAAAAATCTTTTTTTTTCTTGCATGCTTGAAAATTTATGCATTTGATCATTGAATTTGTCAAAATTTATGATATGTTTCAGAATTTTGAAAGTAAATGGTGAAATGAATATGTTTTGTTTGGAAGTTCAATGAAAAACATTTATTTGCAATGGGAAATTTAACAGTTCATACAATAATGTACATATTACAATGGAAATAATGAGAAAAGCAGTAACCATGAGGAACAGAAATGTTTCCCATGAATTTCCCTTGGGGAGTGTGCAAGATGCACTTAAGAAGACATTGGAAGATGAAAATCTTTCTCCTATTTTTACTTTGTTTTATAGAAATCACTTTCTAAAATATACAAAATATTAGGGTATAACAGTTTCCCCATAAAGCATAGTTGAATCACATGTGCTAAATTCATTTATAAGGACCAGCTGACTACTTATGCATGCACATAATATCACCTTTTTACAAATATTGATGATTTTCTAGTTTATTTGGTAGAAACAATTCTGTATAATGAAAAATGGTATAAACTATGTTATTATTGCTGAAAATCAAAATTATACAGATAGATGACTGAGTAGTTGAATGTTCATATGCTTAGTTCATTTTCCTAAAATTTTAATACAAATTCTTGTCATGAATAACCTGTACTCTGATATATTCGTGCTATTTTTAATAATTCAAAACCTATCGAAATAATTTAACAAACAAAGCTAAAAATCTTGAAAACAGTTCTTTTTTAATTTAAATAAAATATAACTACACAAGGCTAATACTATTCTACAATACAATGCATCTATCAACATAAAAGAAATAAATATATTGTTTTCCTCTTTTTCTGCTAAGGGCTGTTCCATAAAAACATACATGGTACCCATATTAAAATCTCAACTATGGATGGGTGTATATGTAGTGAAAATGTAAGTGAAACTCTAAATTTGCCTCTATAAGTGGTTACTCCATTGCGATAGTGCCACCCCCGGGGAACATGTATGTTTTAACGGAATAGCCTTAATGCATACACTTGTATCTTGCACTCCTAAAATTCTTCTCCTGAATTAGTAGCATAGAAACTCTCCAGTTCAAAAGATAATATCATATCCACTGTTGAACAATGCAGAACATATCTTCTAGCAGTTGCACAGATAGTACAATGTGCACTTTTCCACTGTGCAGTCATAAAAGGTGTTGGTCCATCCAGTCTAGTTCATTTCCAAAGGATTTATCCTCTCAATTCCTTAAACTATTACAAATATCCAATCTAACTTTTGAAGCTTTATATTGTAAAATTCATCAGCTTATATAAAGTCTATGGTAATCATTTGCACCAAACCCTGCATTACATTTTGGGCACTTTCTCTGTCTCGTTTCATATCTGGTCTTCAGACATTCCAAACAGAACACATGGAAACATTTTGTCAATACAGCATCTTTCCTGTTTACTTTACATGATGGACATGTCAATTGCTCCTGGAATTAGAGGTCAATTGTAATTCATTAATGTATTGTGTGCTTTATGTTTTTAAATTGAAGTCAACAAAGAGTTTTTAGTGATTTTTTGTAAATCTTTAAGAAACAGACAATATCATACTTAAATCCTGTGTTTTTAAGCCCCTTCCATAAAAAACTTATAAAGAAAAAATTAATTATTCTAAAAAATATTTGTTGAAAAATGTCACTGAAATATAAAATATAATTTTTTGTTGTAAACATACTACAGGTGTATTTTAGCTTGACATAGGTGAGTATATAAAATACCTTATACTCTGCGATCTCAGCCATTAAAACTTCATCAGCTGCCCCTGCCATCTCAATCTTCTTACTTCTCTCCAGTTTACGTTGAAGTTTAGCAATCTCCTCCTATTAGACACAAAACATATAGATATATATAGGAATTACATTTAAATCTCAAATCTATTTTTGGTAAGGAAAGTTTTTTTCCTTTTAACATATTTTCATTGAAAAAAAAAATGAAATAAACAGACCTTTGGTATTCTTGTTTGAATTGTTTCGTATTTTGTCATGTCAGGGCCTTACAACGCTTACTATACAGATTCTGTTTTGTTAAATATTATAGGAAGTACCTTGACTTATAGTTGCTTACATCCACAGAATTTGGACTTTGCTGGCTACTTGTATTATAGGCAATCATATCACATATCCTTATTTTCATATTATGAGGAATTTAGCTGTAACAAAGTTTGAATAACAAGATAGATAGTTTCGTTGGTGTTTAATGCCACTTAAAGCACTATTGTCCTATTTCCTGGTGGTCAGTTTTTTTTTGGGGTGGATGAAGCTGGAGTGCCCAGAGAGAACCATTGATCTTGGGCAGGAAAACTAACAATCTTAGTCAATTTAGAATGGAGTTGTGCAGGATTCGAACTTACAACTTCAGTGTTGACAGCCTAGTGATACAGTAGTTGAACTACTTAGACCACTTGGCCATCAAGGCCATCTGAATAAAAAGAGATTTGGTGTATACCTCAGTGTATAACATTTAATTAATTAATCGTCTGGGTGATCATCACTAAATGTCTAGAATTAGCTGGCGCTTGATTTGAACTGTAATGGCTATGAAAATAGATCAGTACCAAGTACATAGACACAAAATAATAAAATCTTAATTAAAGTTGTCAACAAATTTTTCTTACTGCATGCAAATTATCCTTGTACTTATAAAAAAGATTTTTTCAAATATTGCCAATAACTACACTGTAGTAAAATGCATATGCCCATTACAATGGTAGCTTTAAGCATAATGTGTGAATCAAAGGAACTACCTACAGGTCATTCAATACATCATTATTCTGGTTTCATATGAGAATATATTGGACCTATTAAAAAGCTAACAAAAACCAATCTGAGACAGCTTGTGATTACCATACTTGAAGCACAAAAAGTTTGAAAAATGACTTTACTTGAAAACCTTCGTAAGTCATTCTGTTAAAGCAAATATGGTAATACAACAAATGACTCTCAAGAGCCTGAATAGATAACTGTAATTTTTTGCTTAAATCTTTCATCAATGATTATTTTTGCTTTTCAATATATTTTAATGAATGGCTTAAAACTTCCATTTAAAGGTTCTTTGTATCTGTCATATTTTCTTCAAAATCAAAGAAATGCATTTTACCCCTATGTTTCATTTTAGCCATAGTGGCTTTGTTTCTTGACGTACATGAAAATAAAATACAAAATTTATACTAGATACTCTGAAACTCATTCAGCCCAAGTTTGGCTGAAATTGATTCAGCAGTTTCAAAGGAGAAGATTTTTTAAAGTAAGCAAACTAAATGAACAAATTGTGAACAATTGATTTTAAAGGGCGATAACTCCTTAAGGGGACAATTGACAATTTTGGTCATATAAACTTATTTGTAGATCTTACTTTGCTGAACATTTTTGCTGTTTACAGTTTATCTTTATCATTAATAATATTCAAGATAATAACCAAAATCTGCAAAATTTCCTTAAAATTACCAATTAAGTGGTAGCAATCCAACAATGGGTTATTAAGATTCATCTGAAAATTTCTGGGCCGACAGAGCTTGGCCTAATAAACATTTTTACCTCTCATCAGATTAGCTCTAAATGCTTTGGTTTTTGAGATATAAGCCAAAAATTGAATTTTACCCCTACTTTCTATTTTTAGCCATGGCAGCCATGTTTTTATACGAAACAGAAAATAAAACACAAACTTTATTCTAGATACCCTTACAATCATTCAGCTTAAGTTTGGTTGGAATTGGTTCTTTAGTTTCAGAGAAGAATATTTTTTAAAGTTCGAAAACATGATAAACAAATTGTGTAAAATTGTCCTTAAAGGGCAATAACTCCTTAAGGGGTCAATTGACAATTTTGATCATATGAACTTATTTGTAGATCTTACCTTGATGAAAATTTTTGCTCTTCACAGTTTATCTTTATCGTTAATAATATTCAAGATAATAACCAATAAACTGTTATCACAGAGATATGTCTCGCCTTTTTGTTATTTTGATAATGCAAATGTTGAAATTAAAATAGCAATACTTAACATGTAAGTTAAGCAAATATTCAAAGTCGATGAACCATGACTGAAGGTACATGGCTAAACAATCTCCATGGAATGAGATGTGCCAATGCTAATACAACTGCATACCAAATACCATTGACTTATTATAAGTCGTTTCCTTTAAACAAACCTGAACACAAACATTAACTTGTAAACTATGTAAAAGTTTCAAAGTCATTGAACCATGATCAGGGGTGGGGCTATATAATCTCCATGGAAACGATACTTGCAAATGCCAATAAATTTGCATACCAAATAACATTGACTTAACATTAGCAGTTCATCTTAAACTGATCTAATCACAAACTAATACATGTAAACTAAGCAAAAGTTTCAAAGTAAATAGATCATGACTGAGGGGGCAGGGCCAAATATTCTCCATGAAAATGAGATGTGCTAATGCTTATACAACTGAACAACAATTAACATTGACCTACCACTGATGGTTCCCCTTGAACTGACCTAATCACAAACTAATACATGTTAACTAAGCAAAATTTTCAAAGTCTATAGACCATGACTAAAGAGGAGGAGCCAAATAATCTCCATGGAAATGAAATATGCCAATGCTTATACAACTGCATACCAAATATCATTGACCTACCACTAGTGGTTCCCCATAAATTGACCTAATCACAAACTAATACATGTAAACTATGAAAAGTTTCAAAGTCAATAGACCTTGACTGAGGGGGCGGGGCCAAATAATCTCCATGTAAATGAGATGTGCCAATGCTAATACAACTGCATACCAAATATCATTGACCTACCACTAGTGGTTCACCATGAACTAGAACTAATCACAAACTAATACATTGTTGACGCCGCTGCCGCCGCCACCGACACCGGAAACAGCATACCTATGTCTTGCTTTTTTACTCCATCAAGGCGAGACAAAAACTGCAAAATTTCCTTAAAATTACCAATTTAGTGGCAGCAACCAAACAATGGGTTATCAGATTCAACTGAAAATTTCAGGGCTGATAGAACTTCACCTAATGAACACTTTAACCCCATTTCAGATTTGCTCTAAATGCTTTGGTTTTTGAGATATAAGCCAAAAACTGCATTTTACCCCTATGTTCTATTTTTAGCTATGGCGGCCTTGTTATTTGACGAAACAGTAAATAAAACACAAACTTTGTTCTACATACCCTAAGCATCATTCAGCTTAAGTTTGGTTGGAATTGGTTCAGTAGTTTCAGGAGAAGATGTTTGAAATAGTTTACACCAGACGGACGACGACAGACGACAACGGACGCCAAGTGATGGCAAAAGCTCACCGTTCCGAATGAACGGTGAGCTAAAAAGCAAAAGACTAAACCATTACAGTGCAAAACAGCACCTAAAACAGTGATGTCATTCCTATCATACAGAAATGTTTACCTGCAGCCTATTACGTTTAAATGACTGTTGTTCCAGGGCACCTGTTTTCTCTGCCACAGATACCTGGGCCTCCTTAAGCTGTGCTTGATATTTATCTAAATGTAGTTTTAAATCAGCTGCTGTCTGTGAACTTTCTACTGCCTTCCTCTTGTGCATTTCCATTGACTGTTGGGTAAAGCTGCAACAAACATATAAATCTAATGATTTATTAGATGAATTAAGTGTCTTATAAACTAGGGCTTTTTCATTGGTAGTAGCATAGAAAACATGCACTGAAATGTTACGAAAACACCGTATTGAACACACACACAAAAAACACAAAAAAAATTTTGTATACCATCCAAAAAAATTGCAAAAAAAGCTATTTGATAACCTTCCATAAAGAAGTCCTAAAGAATTTAAATGCTCACTTTGATGTACAAATTTAGTTTTTGTAATACTGATAAGTCTAAAAAAATTTGCGAAATTATGCCCTCATGTAATATGATCTTTGAGGAAGATAAGAGTCAGAAACAAGAAAAAAAGGAAAACAAAACATTGTGAACAGGTATTGCCCTTGAAATTTTGAAATTTAATCTCCAAAACTATTTTACAGTAAATGGTAAACCTACCCTAACTCTTTTTCTGCTGTTGATAAAGCATTTTGTAAAACTTGTTCTTTCTCTTCTAGATTACGTACAACCAACATTTGAGCCTCAACTTGCGTTTGTAGGGTTGCAACCTGTTCTGCCAGAACTTCTTTTTCTTCCCTTAATAACTTCTGTATCTGATTAGACTTAATTCGCTGGCAAATATAACAACTACAATGTTTACTCTTTCTTCAAAGAACTATTGATACTCTGATAAATACAAATTTCTATTCTAAAAATTTTTGTAATGTTGCAAAAATTATCCTGGATTAATTTCATCTTAATTTAAATTTGAATTTTAAATTTGACTACATTATTTTAAAATGGCATTTCCTGAAATTGTATCAATAAATCTCCTATTTAAGTTCACTGAACAAAAATCTATTATATAAAAGTAAAATCATTTTTGATTTTCGGTAAATTAGCCAAATTTAATCTACATTATTAATTATCTGCTTCTATTTATTCAAAATCACCAAACTTTCTCTATCTTGAATGAATTGAAAATTAAGCATGTTCAACATCACACTGATCTTCATACCTCTGACATTAGTTTAAAGTTAGCATCATCTTTTTCTTTCAGCTGTTGCATCAGTCTCAAGTTCTGTTCCTGCATATCTTCAAAAGCCTGTCCTGTAACTTCCATCTCATTTAATAAGGCTTCCTCTCTCTGTAATAGTCAGTGTTTCAATATTTATTGATTTTCTGTTTAACAATTCTAAACATTTTGAAAATACAGCATATGTAACATTTTGAAAATACAGCATCTGTAAAATCAAATATCTAAAACTTCAAATACATGTACATCATACCTGCCAACCTCTGAAACCTTCAAAAAGGGAGATCTCCCCCTCAGCTATGACAGCTGAGGGGGAGATTTTGCGCAACAACGTTTTCAAGTTAAATATATTTTTTTTCTTCAATTCATAGTTATAATCTATACAAGGTGTTGTTTGGTTTTTTTTGCCTTTTTCAATACCTCTGAGTCTCATAACTCATAACATTCCATATTTTGATTTTGTTTTGAGTCTCACACTAAGCATGCTTTCAAACGTCGTACAGACCACAAGAAGAAAATGAAAAGTTAATTGAACATGATGTGCAAAATGAAGATTCATTGCCAAGTGAACTTGGTCGTAAAAATTGAAAATCTTTCATTCAATCTGCTTGATATTTCCATTTGCAGTTCTTTATTTCTTCTTTTTTAATTTTACATTGCCGCTTGGTCCAGACAAAGACTTCTATCTTGTTTGAGGTAACATAGCAGAAATGAATTTCGATTACTTATAAATCGAACATAAAAACTACTGTCCAAAGTTTTCAAATGATCGGCGATTGTTTATTTATTTCTATTGAAAGTAATGAAATAACCAGAGAATTACGCAGGTCATTCTAGGTAAAAATATCCGAAAGCGAGAGTGGACCGGCAAGCGGGAGATTTTCGGAATTTCGTCATTTGTGCATGAGACTCCCGCTCAAAACGGGAGGGTTGGTAAGTATGATGTACATATTACTTTTCATTTCAATTTGAGAATGGAAGGAAAGTTTTTATAATGTTCAACAGAAGTAGGGAATATATGTTCATGGAAGAACAGGAAACAAAATTTAATTCCTAATATAAAACAAACAAAAAATATTTTGGGCTTAAACGATGCAATCCCACCTATTTTACCCTTGATTATGGATAATCAGGGAGAATATTAGAAAACTTAAGCAAAGAACAGTGTAAAAAGTAATGTTAAAAGATTACCACTGGATTTCAACAGACAGTAGCTAGAGAGAATTTGGAATTCAAACATCTCTCCTGACCTGTTTTATTTCACAAGCTCACCTGTATTTACATTGACTTGTCTTTGTAAATAGAAAATGTGTACTCATTTCTTAATCCCATTTAGATACATTGTAAATATTTTTTTCAATATAATTGCTGATGAATTGGAAATTAAAAGTTTTCAACATTAACATACTAGGTTGAAAACACAAGGTACTATACTGAAATCAGAAAACATGATCCAACTCACGACCTTGGAAGATTCAAACTATTTTTAAAAGGAATAGATATGTTCTGTGAGTGTCACTTTGACTTCACCTTATTGAGGTTTGACTGTAAATGTTTCTTACCTGTTTTTGTGTAGACAAATTCTTTGATAGCTCAGAAATAGTTTTCTCCATTTTTATAATTTTAAGTATAGCCTCATCCTCAGCCAGCTTTCTTCTGTCTCTCTTTTCATTTTCCTGCATCCTTTTTAATTGTACTTTTAGATCCTCATTTTCATGGCGTAATTTTTTCTCAGCACCCATTAGCTAAAATCATATGGAGAATAAGCTCTCAGGCTCAATAACAATAAGATACTATAAATTCAGAAATTTGTGTGTGCATTTATTATAACAATTCTAGAACAAAGGTCACAAATGGGAGATTAATTACTGTGATTGCAGGAACTGCTGCATACAAAAAATAGTGTAAAAATTTTAAATTTTGAGTTTTAAAATTTGCAAAACCTATCCCTTCGCAATTTTTACATGGCTGAAATATCTATCCATGTCAACATTGTATCAATGGATATGTGTCTTCTTTTTAGAAGGAACAGCAGGTAGCTTTATACCTTATTTCAATAACCATACCTGAGTACTCATTATTTTTATGTATCTCCTTATAATTTCATTTACATGTAAAAGCTTATTCAATATTACAGATGATTAACCAAAAGAAAGTTTGAATTGTCAAAATCTACCGTTCTGAGTCAATAGAAAATTTGTAGCATTGCTGCCTGAGATATGTCCCACAATCCACTGTTTAAAAAAATAGATATGGCAAAAAGTATAAACTTGTTTCCTACCTCCTGGCATAAAAAATAGGATTGGTAAGCGAAATATTTTTTATCATTATATTGATTGATTGGTTGGTACCACTTTCAACACTTTTGTGCAATTTCGTGTTTCAAGTTTTTATTGGTTTTTATCATTATAAGGATATGTTCAAACAATGTTGGTGTATGTAAAACTTATTATAAACTAACCTGTGTTTTATCTCTCTGTTCCTTTGGAGCACTTTTATACATGTCTAACAGCAACTTAAGTTCTCTTTGGCTAGCTTGAGATATTCTGAAAAGAGTGAATAATGATTAGAGTACTCAAAAATTTTAAGGTTGTATCTATTTTACATACTTTTGTAGTTTTTCTTAGACTAGTAAACTTTCATTATTTTCATTTTTTACTGCTCATAAACAAATGTTTACTATACTGTGGAATCATTATAATTCATGGGATACCATTTTTTCAATGATTTGGTGGGTACATGAAAACCACGAATTTCCAAACACCTTGACTAAAATTAATTTGGCTCGTTTAATTTTCATAAAATTTTGACAAAATGTTTATTTTAACCCTTGGTCAAAAACATAAAAAATTCAAAAAAATTGAAACACACACTTTATCTGAAAAATTTCGTTGGATATATAGCACTTTGAAAAACACTAATTTTGATCATTAAGAAGCTTTCTATTTCATTAACAATAGAACCTGATTAAAAGGTTCAGCTGATTTTTACAGAGTTATCTCCCTGTAGTGTTATGTACCACCTTAAAAGTATAAATAAGAACAAATTTTCTTAAGGTTTGTATGTAGACTTTGGCAAAAACCACAAAATCAAATTATCCAGGAAAATACAATGTTTCCTCAATCCACTAAAATTGGTATTCATGAAAATACAATGTTTCCTCAATCCACTAAAATTGGTATTCATGAAAATACAATGTTTCCTCAATCCACTAAAATTGGTATTCATGAAAATACAATGTTTCCTCAATCCACTAAAATTGGTATTCATGAAAATACAATGTTTCCTCAATCCACTAAAATTGGTATTCATGAAAATACAATGTTTCCTCAATCCACTAAAATTGGTATTCATGAAAATAAATGAATCCCCAGTATAAGAAAAGCTATCAACAATCTTCAAACAGTCAATTTATTTCAGACTAGGAAACTAGAATGAAACAATTGAACTAATTTTAATGAGTTTTCAATTACATTTGATTACCTCCTCATTCTAAATTGAATTTACAAGTTACACAAATGTTTTACCTCTTAGGACTGATTACACAGTTATATTTAAAATTGGCAATATGCATATTGAAATTTTTAAGATTGATTAAGAATTCGCTAACAAGCTTTGATAATGTAGAACCCACAGATCAATCATCATGTAAATGTATTTTCATATCTTTATGTGTTAATCGTCAACTCTATTAGACAATGAAATACAAGAACTAATAAAATGCTTCGCTGGGCGCAGCTTGATACGACCGCAGATGTCGAACCCTGAACAGTTGGGGCAAGTATGGACACAACATTCAAGCTTGATACAGCTCTGAATTTGGATTGTGATTAAATATTTGACACAGCATAGGTTTCTGACACAGAAAGAATGTGGTCTAAGAACTTCATTTTTTTTAATTTACCTATTATGGTCCAATGTCCAAAATCAAAATACATGGCTAGATTCAGCATATCAAAGAACCCCATATATTCAATTTTTGTTGAAATCAAACAAAGTTTAATTTTGGACCCTTTGGACCTTAATGTAGACCAATTTAAAAAACAGGACCCAAAATTAAAAATCTAAAAACACGGTTAGATTTGGCATATCAAAGAACCCCAATAATTCAATTTTTGTTAAAATCAAAATAAGTTTAATTTTGGACCCTTTGGACCTTAATGTAGACCAATTTAAAAAACAGGACCCAAAATTAAAAATCTAAAAACACGGTTAGATTTGGCATATCAAAGAACCCCAATAATTCAATTTCTGCTGAAATCAAACAAAGTTTAATTTTGGACCCTTTTGACCTCAATATGAACCAATTTGATAGCGGGCCCACAAAATAAAAAATCTAAATACATGGTAAGATTCAGCATATCAAAGAACCCCATATATTCAATTTTTGTTGAAATCAAACAAAGTTTAATTTTGGACCCCAATTTGGACCAACTTGAAAATTGGGCCAAAAATCTAAAATCTAAATACATGTTTAGATTCAGCATATCAAAGAACCCCATATATTCAATTTTTGTTGAAATCAAACAAAGTTTAATTTTGGACCCCAACTTGGACCAACTTGAAAACTGGGCCCATAATCAAAAATCTAAACACATGTTTAGATTCAGCATATCAAAGAACCCCAAGAATTCAATTTTTGTTAAAATCAAACTAAGTTTAATTTTGGACCCTTTGGACCTTAATGTAGACCAATTTAAAAACGGGACCCAAAATTAAAATTCTAAATACACGGTTAGATTTGGCATATCAAAGAACCCCAATAATTCAATTTTTGATGAAATCAAACAAAGTTTAATTTTGGACCCTTTTGACCTCAATATGAACCAATTTGATAGCGGGTCCACAAATAAAAAATCTAAATACATGGTTAGATTCAGCATATCAAAAAACCCCAAGAATTCAATTTTTGATGAAATCAAACAAAGTTTAATTTTGGACCCTTTTGACCTCAATGTGGACAAAGTTGATAACGGGGCCCAAAAATCAAAAATCTAAATACATGGTTAGATTCAGCATATCAAAGAACCCCATATATTCAATTTTTGTTGAAATCAAACAAAGTTTAATTTTGGACCCCGATTTGGACCAACTTGAAAACTGGGCCCATAATCAAAAATCTAAATACATGTTTAGATTCAGCATATCAAAGAACCCTAAAAATTCAATTTTTGTTAAAATCAAACTAATTTTAATTTTGGACCCTTTTGACCTTAATGTAGACCAATTTGAAAACGGAACCAAAAATTAAGAATCTAAATACACGGTTAGATTCGGCATATCAAAGAACCCCAATAATTCAATTTTTGATGAAATCAAACAAAGTTAAATTTTGGACCCTTTGGACATCAATGTGGACCAATTTAAAAACGGGGCCCAAAATCCAAAAACTTAATACACGGTTAGATTCAGCATATTAAAGAACATCAAGAATTCAAGAATAAAACCCCATTGAAATTGATCAAGAAATAAGCAATTTATACGAAGTATCTTCTTTTGCACAATACTGTGCAATTGAATATTTCTTGCTATTGTGCAATACTGTACAATTGACAATTTCTTGCTATTGCGCAATATTGTGCTATTGGATATTTCTTGCTATTGCGCAATACTGTGCAATTGAAGATTTCTTGCTATTGCGCAATACTGTGCAATTGAAGATTTCTTGCAATTGTGCAATACTGTGCAATTGAAAATTTCTTGCTATTGCACAATACTTATTATATAATAATTTACACATCCTGTTTGGTGTGTATCTCCTACCATATCATTATTATTTGCTTTTAAATATTAATCAGAAATAACCAACTTAAAATGGAAAATTTTAAAAGAAAAAAAAAAGGAAAAAAAGAAAAAAAAAGAAAAAAAAAAAAAATCCCCCCCCCCAAATTTTTTGAACCCCCTTATGATTCATCACCCCCAAACTCAATCCCAGCCTTCCCTTTGTGGTATGGTACCTTGCAGTACAATTTCAGAGAGATCCATACACTTGAACACAAGTTATTGTCTGGAAACTAGAAAAATGCTTATTTTTGGCCCCTTTTTGGCCCCCAATTCCTAAACGTTTCGGGCAATTACCCCCAAACTCAATTCCAGCTTTCCCTTTGTGATATGGAACCTTGTAGTACAATTTCAGAAATATCCAAACACTTACACACAAGTTATTGTCATGAAACTAGAAAAATGCTTGTTTTTTGCCCCTTTTTTGGCCCCTAATTCCTAAAATTTTGAGGCAATTACCCCCAAAATCAATTACAGCCTTCCCTTTGTGATATGGAACCTTGTGGTACAATGTCAGAGAGATCCATACACTTACACACAAGTTATTGTCTGGAAGTTACAAAAATGCTTATTTTTGGCCCCTTTTTGGCCCCTAATTCCTTAACTGTTGGTACCATAACCCCCAAAATCAATCCCAACCTTCCTTTCGTGGTATTGAACCTTATGGTAAAATTTCATGGAGATCCATTCACTTAAACTAAAGTTAGAGTGCGAAAACCAATGTGTCTTCGGACGACGCCGGACGACGCCAGACGACGACGACGACGACGACGACGACGACGACGCCAACGTCATACCAATATACGACCAAAAAATTTTCAATTTTTGCGGTCGTATAAAAAAATCCTACTTTAGTTGAGTTCTCAATTCTTTTATAACTTCTATATCAGTTTTGCCTTTCTCTCTGTATTCAAATTCATCTTTGTCATCATCTTTATCTTGAGAAGAAGAAGATGTTAGTTCAGGAGTATCTGTTTTAGTTGGAGTTCCTGGTGTTTTTGGTACAGATGGCGTTGCTGCAATTCCTTCCCCTTCTTTAATACCAGATGTATTCTGGGAATTTTTAGCACTGTTTTCTGCTGATTTTTGTTCAGCTGCTGCAACCTCTGCCTTCAACTAGATTATGAAGAAAAACTAATTTGAACATTTTAATACCAACAACATGAATATAATTTTTACAACAAAATAAAACATCCTTTTTTTTCTTCGATAATGGTTAAAGTGACGCCACCAAAATTCAACTTGATCTGTGTTTTGTGGTAATGAGCATTGTGTATAAGTTTCATAACATTTGGTTGAGGCAAACTTAAGTTAGAGAAGTGAAACTAAAAATTTTGCATTTTTTTTTCCATTATCATTATCCAAAACAAAACTGGTCGCCATAATGTAACCAAGTGTGTTGAAGGTGGTGATAAACAATGAAAATTAATATTTTTTGGGTATATGTCAGTGATTAATTTGTGAGTGCATTATGTTCGAAGAGCAGACAAAGCGGTATAATAATTAGTAAAATTCATCATGGTTAGATGTATCTTTGAAGGACCCAAGCATGGTAGTTCAAGAAAAGTGGTATATTCCATGTATACATGTAGAAATGTAGTTTTTTTTCAACTATATAAAAAAAAAATTTCAACTCAAACTTGATCTTGATGTTTATCCATATAACATAAATCAAAGTGCTTGTAAGCACTGAAGGGTAAAGATTGCTTTAATTTAACAGTGGAAATATAATTTAATATTGCATTGTATAAAGCATTGGTTGTAGTTGATTCAACTACAATTCTGGAAAAAGGAAGATAACTCCAATTTTAACAATGACATCATTGATATTTTTAGAACAGATATTAGATTCCTGCACATTGCACAAGTTATGTAATTTTCTTGACAAGTATAACATGATTTTGTAACTTGAATATTTGAGCATATATATCATTGATAAATTTCTGGAAATGTTCATGGCTAGGATGTATAGAATGTTATGATCAATGCACTATATTTTGTGATACTCAAAAGTAGTGATAAACCTTGGAAGATTTAGATATTAAGTCAGTACCATAGGGTTTTGATTGCATGAAATGCAATCTTTACCCAAAAATCTATGATTAATATTTCATTTGTGAAAACGCCAGAGAGTAAGAACTTTTAAAGAACTCAAATAAATGCTGAATATCCATATGTTTTTTTCGTACATATTAACAAATAAAACAACAATTAAATATGAAAGAATGAACTCATTAAATTTTGCATGTTCAGTGATTCACTACCAGACTAAAAGTCTGAACTTAACTGCCACCAGAAGTTTTGACCAAAGCTGTTATGTACCTTGTTTAGTTCTGTCAATGTTTCCTTATATCTTCTTCTATTTCTACTGGACTCTGCCTTCAACTGTTGGTTATGTTTCTGTAAACTTTGTATAAGATTCCTCATCTCCTGATTAATAGGTCCTACAAGGTAAAATAAAAAATGTTGATCTTTGTTCTTATGTTGTGCTATTACCTCACTGTCCCAGGTAACAAGATTACAGGAGGGTTGAGTGCTAAAAAGCATCTCTAAACAATACTTCATTCTTTATGTGCCTGTCCCAATTCAGGGGCCAGTAATTTGGTGGTTGTCCTTGTTTGCTGTCTGCCATATTTGTGTTTCATTTATTGTTTTAGCATAAATCATGCTGTTGGTTTTAATCATTTTCCATTTTGTCATGCCTTTTATTGCAATGAGGCTTTCAAGATGTCAATCACATCATATACGGTGGATTAATCTTTATTCATTAGATACCAATTTTCATGGATTATGTGGGAACCACAAATTCTAATATTAAGGTGGTACCTAACACTACAGGGAGATAACTCTGTAAAATCAGCTCAACGTTTTAATTATGTTGTATTGTTAAGGAAATATTAAGCTTCTCAATGATTAAAATAAGTGTTTGTCAAACTGCTATATATCCAATGAAATTTTTCCGAGAAAGTGATTGGTTCAAGTTTTTTGAAATTTTTATATTTTTTTCAAGGGGTCAAAATAAATATTTTGTCAAAATTTTATGAAAATGAAACGAGCCAAATTAATTTTAGTCAAGGTGTTGGGTACCACCTTAAGCAAATTAAAAATTTCCTATAAAATGTATGAACACTTTGCAATACAAACAAATCAAATATCCACAAAAATATAAGTTTCGATCACTCCACGAAAATAAATGAATCAACAGTAACTTGCAAAGAAATCTAACAATTACTGACATAATTTTACCAACATATCTCATCGTAAATTGTTTCATTGGAAACAATCAGTCCATTATGAGGTGCTTCACATAAAAAATGGTCAAATATGGAAGAATATTATCATGATGATTTTGATTAGTTTTACAGTCTTTTATACCTGTTTGTTCATTCTGAGCTAATGTTTGCTCAAATTCAATCCTCAACATTTCATATTCCTTTCTAACTTGAGCTAAGGCATCCTCTAACTGTATACATTCTGCTCTCAATCTTTTCTGGGAATCTAATTCATCACTCTAAAATATAAAGAACATTTATTTGTTACATACAGTGATTTCACTGGCGCTCATAGTTTGCCATTTACAAAACGATTTTCAAAATAATTAAAGTATTTCTGATCAGTTTCGTCACTTAAATTTGTTAAAGATGGATAAAATAAATGTGGATAGTGTCCACATGTGGACACAGATGATGCCCCGCTTGCATAGCATATAGTTATAAAGGGACATAACTGAAGAACGGTAAAAGTGACGCTACCCAAATTTGAACTTGATCTGAGTTTTGTGGTAATAAGCATTCCGTGTAAGTTTCATAACATTTGGTTGAGACAAACTAAAGTTAGAGAAAGGAAACGAAAAATTCAGCAATTTTTATGTTTATAAAGGAACGTAACTCAAGAATGGTAAAAGTGTTCTCACCAAATTATGTAGTAATAAGCATTGTGTATAAGTTTCATAACATTTGGTTGAGGCAAACTAAAGTTAGTAACGGAAACAAAAAATTTGAACTTGATCTTATTTTTGTGGTAATGAATATTGTGTATAGGTTTCATAATGTTTGGTTGGGGCAAACTTAAGTTACAGAATGGAAACTAAAAATTTTGCAATCTTTCGATTTATAAAGGGGCATAACTCAATAATGGTTAAAGTGACACTACCCAAATTCAACTTGATCTGTGCTTTATCAGTGGAAGTCAAAATTAAACATTGAATTGTATAAAGCATTGATTGTAGTTGATTCAACTATAATCATGGACAAAGGAAGATAACTCCAATTTTAAAACTTACTTGATATTTAGAAGAAAATAAAAATTTTGCAATTTTTCCATTTATAAAGGGGCATAACTCTAGAATGGTTAAAGTGACGCCACCAAAATTCAAATTTGATCTGTGTTTTGTGGTAATAAGCATTGTGTATAAGTTTCATAACATTTTGTTGAGGAAAACTCAAGTTAGAGAAAGGAAACCAATTTTGGGACGTACGTACGGACAGACAAGGGTAAAACTTAATGCCCCCACTGCTACGGCGGGGTCATAAAAATTGTACCAATTTTTACCAGGCAATATGTTTATGACAAGTTTAGGATCCCAAGCTTATTAACAGTCACAACAGGAGTCATAACTTTTTTTGTTTTAGGTAATCCCCTTATCTAATGGGTTATTAGTGATACTCAAAATTAATTCATATAAATAGAATTTGTCAGTTGGCATTTCGATTGGAATAAATTTTTCAAACGACCACATAATTTGCTATGGTTTCTGTAGTTTCGTGATAAAAACGTAATCTACTGAAAGATGAAAACTGAAATGATGAAAACTAAAATAAACTCATTAGAAAACTAATTCGGTTATTTTTTTTTATCAGATGTTCTTTGGTATTCGCCTGCCCACACTGCGCTCCTATCATGTTAAGCTGCTACCCAAGAAAGGTAGGTTTTCACGCAAAAGTGACAAAAGCCCTTAAAATCCTAGCTTAAACCCGGATAAAGTATTTATATACGTAAAATAGGGAATTTTTCAATACCTCAAGCTGTTCTAAATGACGTAGATGTGTATTTTTGCTGGTCATTAATAGATTCCTAGTCTCACTCAATGATGTCCTGATCTGTAATGCATCGTTATACAACACAGAGAACTGAGACTGTAAACACTTATACTCTGTAGTATCTACGATAACTTCCTCTGGAAGATGCATAAGCTGAAAAAGTCAAAAATTATCAAAATTATTAAAATATAAAAGCATGAAATTTATATTAAGCTTTAACAAAGTATCAGGGGGAGACAATTAATTTGAATGACGATTAATAAAGAACTGGAAAATATGGAAACAGCATAATAAAGATCTGCTATGTCTTGACACCATAAACCAAGGAATTGTTAAAATACAGACATAACATAATAAAGAACTGTTGAAATTTTACATAGAATTCTTGATGACTTATAAATAATTTCTCAATATGGTTATATCTGCATTCAGGTTTTTTTCCTATCAATTCTCATTTACAATGATTTTGAAATAAAGATCCACTATTGATATGGAAGTCCTGATGAAATATCTTTATGCTGGTCCTTTTCATGCTATACTGGGCTTTAAAGGTTTTCAGTACTTGTTTACTGATATACTGTATACCAGGTTATAATTGTGTTGGGTTTTGTTCATGGTTCAGGCCTAATATGGGCCAGTTCAATTTTCACTGTGATCATTTTCCCTGATTCAGAGCTTTGTGCAATGCATTTAAATTGACAGTGAATTATTCACCTAGAGTAAATTTTGAGGCAAAATATCCCCTGCCAAAAATTGGACATACTCAAAAATTTCCTGGTACATAATATTTTTCTTGTCTTTTGCAAAACTGACTCACTTTGCATATTGTTACTCCATTGAACTTTGGTATACAATACTAGTTATTTCATTTCTAATATTCTTAATTGTAATTTTTCTTTAGCTTATGGATTTATAGTTACAATTAATTGACAGAAGATATTAAGGAATACATTTTTCCAAGTGTTACAATGCTTACATCCATTTTTAGTTTTTCCATTTCTTTTAATGCTTCCTGATGCTCACTAGTCAATTTTTCAAGTTCTGACAGACGATTGGTTGATATCTCTTTGAATTCTTCTAATTCATTGTACATTTCATCAAACTGAAAAAAAATACATAAATAAGATAAGTATACATATTTTTAAGTATGTGTATTGGAAAATATTTTTTTTTAAACATACATGTACATCAATAAATCATACAAGTCCTTACCCACATATGAATAGTTTGACCCTTAACTGAACTAACAACTACATATATAACTGAAGAAAAGTAAAAGAAATGCAAAATTTTAACAAATAAAAGTGGTTTTTAATTTTGTGTTACTGCTTACCCCTCCTTGAGAAACTGAGTCCAACCCCCAGTTTTTAATGGGATTGTTGTTACTAAGTCTTTGGTTTGTCTGTGTATTGTTTTGTTTTTTTTGTCTTTCCATTATTTTTATCTTTGGCCATCGTGTTGTCTGTTTTGATAGAACTTGAGATTGTTGATTGCCCCTTTGCTATCTCTTTTTATATTTTTTGGGGTAAGCAGACCATTGAATATCATTAAGTAAAGGTAAAACAAAACATGACATCTTGACTTTATTTAAATGTCATTTCTTGATGGGTTGCTGTCTCATTGATTTATCTTTCTCTCAATTTTGAACTCTAAATGGGATCTACTAGATCTTGCAGTAATCTTTACCTTTTTCTTAGAAACTCCGGTAATTTTCCTTCCACTCTCTTCCTGTATGACACCAGTATCTTCATAACTTTGTATCTTCTGTAAAGCCTCAGCCAGATGTCTGTCTAGACGTAAAGCTCTCTCATCAGCCTTCTCAAAGTTATATTCTAAATCATCCATCTTGTTATTCAGTTCAGCAATCTCGGTTTCAGCTGCTGTCAACTTGTCTTGAGATTCTGTTACCTAGGGAACAATGTATTAAAACTAAAATTAATTCTGTTACCAAGACAATTTCAACAAAATGGGGCATAAAAAATTACTTCAATGATATCAAGATTCTTTGAACATACAAACAAGTAAATTGTTCTGTATGCATTTCAAGAAATTCATCAACAACTTAGGGGAATTAACTCTGTATTTAACCTCATAGTTGTCTCTTGTACATCATTCATAGTATACCAAAATATAATTTCTCGTGGTATCTGTTTGTTGGATCATGGTCCTGTCTATCCAATTCTGATCTACATTTATCTTTTGCATCTACTTTCAAGGCAGTCTGGCTCATTTAATGACACAATAATTTTTAGAGTATGATCGATGAAAACATCATAATGTCATTAAAAAAGAAGTTAATATATTTGACATATATTCAATCGTGTTTATATAAACATCATATCACTATTTTCAAAAATTTAGTTTTGATTTTTTTTATGTGATAATTTTTCTTATCCCACTACTCTAGTGAAATGGGTTTTTCTCACAGTAGTGTATAAAGAGAATGTATGAAATCATGAGCCTATGTCATTGATGTTTCCTAGGAAAACAGCGATAAAACAGATTATCAATGGTCTTTCAAACTCAAGGATGTTTCTTGTCTTCATCTCATCTCAGGGCTGTGGCCCTTCAGTGAGATTGTAGGGAGAAATACCCTCTGGTTTGAAAAAACATTGATAATCTATAAATCCAATCCAATACCTATCATACAGGTAGATGATCTATTTACCTGTAATGAATGTTCATGGTGTTTCTTGTGTAAGTCTGTCACTATTCTATGCAGACGCTTATTTTCTTTTTGTAACTCTGTCATTTCATCACTGACTGTATCCCTAAGTGATAACATGTCTTCTGCTTCATTCATTTCATCTTTGGGTTCAGATGGTTCTTCTGGTTTTTCCTTTTTTACCTGTTGACCTTGAGAATCACCTTAAATTAAATTAGCACGCCAGTTCAAATCTACAACATTTAGTCTGACAATAAAAGAATATCAAACCTGAAGATTATGACTGTTTTTTTAATTTAAAGTCTAACATATGATTAAAGTATGAAAAGTGAACATAATGTTTTGCTAATTGTTGAAGGCCGTACGGTGACGTTGTTAACTTCTGTGTCATTGGGTCTCTGGTGGAGAGTTGTCTCATTGGCAATTATACCATATCTTCTTATTTTTATAATTACCATGTCACTGAATGGTCTGCAATAATTAGCACAAACCTATTCTGTATTAAAATAAGCTATAAAAATTACCAAGATCATATAACAAAGTAAAAAATTTAGTAAAAAACTAATTACAAATATAAAGGAAGATAATGTTACAATTAGACTGTGGCTTGTGCATTATGCAATTACAAATGTCTGTATGTAGATTAAAAAAAAAATCCTCACACATGTCACAGGTAATATGAAATCTTTTCAAAATACTGTTAACATAGATATTTGCATGATTTGAATGCATAAACTTTTTGCACAGTGGTTAATGATGAGTGCACATTTCCCATCAAAATTGTTAATTTGCACTAACTTGGAATATTTATACATTTTGCATGATTGCTAAAAAAACGTTAATAACCAGGCTTCAAAAAATTCCTTGATTACAGTTTTAACCAATTGTCTACCATACTATTATAGAATTACCTGCTCCTTCCATATCAGGTTTTACATCACCATCTCCTTTTTCCATTTTCTTTTCTTCTCCTGTTTGCTGATCGTCATTCTCTGTCTTCATGTCTTCCTTTTTAATGTCAATATCTTTCTTCTCTTTCTTAATATCTGATTCTTTCTTAATGTCTGTATCTTTCTTCAATGTCCCCAGTTCTAGAGCCTCCTTAGCATCTTTCTCTACTTTTTCTTGTATAGACTTATGGAGTTTTTCATTTCTCTGTAGCAGCCTGTCAAAAGCTTGCAGTAATTTACCAATAGCACGTTTGGAGAATTCCACCCTCTGTCCAAGTTTCTGTTCCAACTCTTGTTTGTCCCATGTTGACAGCAGGGTAAGGAATGCTTTTGTTTCATCACTTTCATCTGAAATAATTTTCAGTTTTCTAACACATAAGAACATGAGCACAAAACATAATCATCTTATCAAATACATGTACTAGCAAATAATAATTGGGACTTTCTTCTAGCTAGACTTCATCGAAAGATTTTTTAATATTTGTTTTTTTATTATTTTATTTTTTTCTGTTCTTGTTCTTTTTAATCTAACAAGCTTTTTTTGAGTAAATGTAGACAATAGGCATATTTTTTCAAAAATTATTTTCTTTGATTTTAAATTGAGGTTTTCCATAAACAAATGTATGGGGGTCAGAAGGCACTCTTTATTCAACCCTGCCATGCATAAAATTTTATTTGGTTATTGCATATAATTGTTAAGACTATCTGTCTAAAATAACCACCACCCATCAAATTTTAATAAAACTGCATTCTGACACTCCCATTCAATTAATTCTGATTAATTTAGGTGAACCATGAATTTAAGTGTTAACCAAAGTACAAATTTCCTATAGGCTAGTATGCAGATTTTTGCAAAACCACAAAATCAAGTATCTACAAAACATATTTTTATTCTTCAATCAACGAAAATTGGTACCATCAAAAATAATCCACAGTATATGTTTTTAGGAAATTTGAAAGAAAATTATTATTAGAATTGAAATTGCATGTTGTAATTAATACATGCTAATTCAATACCATTATTTTTTGCAATTATGTATATAATGTAATGTAACTATTGGTCACTTGTGATACCCATGCTACAATCCCTGGGTAAACATCAGTTAATAAGTGATGCATGTGAAAAGGCATCATCCAGTATAGCATGCTCACATGAAGCTTGATACTGAATTTCAGGAAGCTCTGATTTGTAGTTCCTGAGATACATTTTTGTAAATGGGACCAAAATTTCATGGAACAGACTGGCGGATTAAGGAGGAAAACCAGTATAACCTCTCCTACTAAAAATACATATACCACTGTTTTTCAACGCAAGGCCAAGGATTGTGATATTTTGTGAATTATTTAACCTTATTTCCATTGGATATTAGTACTTATGCATTATCTTTGTTTCTTGTTTGCATAATATTTCAATTGAAAGATCTAATCGTACTTTTTGTTTCATCTTCATCTGCAGTTTCTGCATCAAACCTCTGTAATAGAACTCTCACATCTTCATCTAACTGTAAGTAAAACAATACATTTATTTCTAGATATACTGCAATTAAGAATTGATATTCACAAGTGATAAAATGACAAGCATTCCAATAAGCTTTCATCAAAATGTACAAATTATATTTAAGGAAAATGGTGTACAGAAAATCTGAAAACTGATATTTTTTTCAAAATAATAAAAAATTAATTTTAAAGTAACACTTTAACAATTTTTGTACACATTTACATTCTTTATGATGTAGCTCACTATTTTATATTGGTTCTACTGTCACTGTATTATGGTTTTGATTGAGTAGTTTTTTGCAGATGTGTTGGGTCTTTTATTGTATTCTAGTCAGTCAACAAACCAATAAGCTGGTCAATAACTTTTGTAATTTCATAATAATTTGACCATCAGAATAAAACAATTCTGTCCAGTCACTCAAGTGTCAGTGCAGAGAATGGTTGTTAATTTTGATGCTCAGTGTTCTACTGGTCTGCTGGCATACATCTGTACTTGTGTCGAAAATTCAAAGCACACAATAAAAACTTAACCATAAACAGGGGACAGGATCGATTTGAACATTATAGTTTGGTAAGTCAGAGCCAAAAAAAAACATACATATCTTTGGAGTTAACTTTCTTACCTGATTCCAGTAACGATTTACTATCATCAACACAGCATCATCAGTTCTCTGTCTGAACTCTAACTGTTCAATTCTCTTTCTTAATTCTTCTTCAGCTCTCTTTCTCTGTTCAATTCTCTCAGCTAACTTCTTGTTTTGAAATGCTAGCACTTTTTTATCTAGTTCTTCCTGTAAAGAGATTATAAATAATTTATATATAATATAAAAAAATTAAGATGATCAATAGTTTCAAGTTTGTCATACAAATTGTACATAAAGTACTGAAAAATCTTAAATACATGAAAAAGTAACCATAAATATGATAAAAATAACTTTTTTAACTTTTTGAAAGTGGATTTAAAATGCATACTTATTTTAACTTACATTTCTACAGAGATCATATTTCTGTAGCAATATACAACTTTAATAATACAGTGACCTATACATGCTATAGTTGCTAACATTTACATCACTTGGTCTCGGGTGAATAGTTGTCTCATTGGAAATCATACCACATTTTCTTATTTAATAGTCATAGTGAATGATATCTCTTATACAAAGGTAATGTTAGCATTGTAGGAGAATCACATTTTGTCCTCTGTTTTGATAGGACTAATGACTTTTATTTATTAAAGCAATTTACACTTAAACAGGGCCTAATCTAGGATTTTGGAGAGGGAGAAGTGACTTCTCCTTCCATGAGAGAGAAGGGAGAAGTGGTCAATTTCTTTGAGAAGTGAGATTCCATTACCGTTTCGGTTGCATAGTTTTCTCGTGCTTATCACTACGGAAATTGTTTTAACTGCAATAAAAAATATACTTGCAGTTTTTTTAATGTTATTGTTAAAAATGTATATATAGAAAGTTCTTAATAAAAAGGTTTAAACAATATAGTTGTTATTTATTCTTTGATACTATTTGTACTGTCAACTTGAATTTAAGTTTAAATAAAATTTGTTGCTTGGGACATGAGGGAGTAGCCTAGTAATATTATGATGCATTAAATTCATGTACATCTGCCTCAATTTATTTTTTAAATATCCAGAAAAATATGACTCCCAGTTTACCTGATGAATTTCACATGACTGGGAATTTAATTTATATCACCACTTTAATATTATTTTGTAAAACATTATCGAATGTCCAGGACATCATGTTACATGTAATTGTAAATTGAGATTCTCGTTAAAGATTGTAAGCATATAAATGAAAATGTCTGTCAATCACATATTAATTAACCAATACAGAGCTAATTTCTATCATTTTTTAAAGACATCTTCCCTATCAACGAAATTGTCGTGAAAAAAAAATCCACTGCTGATCACATCTGGTCGAGTGTCGTTTGTTTGCAATCAAATTATTCATCAGCTGTCTTTCTATCTTTTATATTTCAATTTTTATTCAATGAATATAATAAATATACCGTTAATTCCCACCCTTAACCCACTGAATAGTACAATTTGATCAACTCGTAATAAATAAAAATAAAACAAATCAGCTGAGTGATTACGCAACATCCTCAGATGAAAATCATCGTAAAATGATAACTTTAACAGACGGTCAGTTTTCCGTTTGAATAGTTTTGAATGTTATATCCAAGGATGTTCAAAGTCGCCGTTGTATTAATTGAATTTGATCGTCGACAGTATCAGTCCTGGGTCGTTTCGAAAATCTCGATTTTCCTTGTCAGTCGCCTTTTTTTTTTTACCTGGGAGACTTGTAATTCACAAGTTGCCTCCCTTTTACTGATTTTCATAGCCATTTGACTTCACCATGAAGTCAGTCGGCTGGCGATATTTAGCAATTTTCAAAATTCTTTGGCGACTTAAATCGTCATTTCGCCGGCAAGATTATGGCCTACTTAAATTAAATTGTCATGTCAGTGGAAATCCATTCACATATACATGCACATAACTATAAATGTAAACCATGTAAACAGAAATGTTGTACTTGTCTATGAGACAGAACCCCCAAAGACACATAAACATTGGGAGAAGTTGACCATAAACTACTGCTTTTATTTACAAATTGTCTAGATAGGTAATAGATAGGTTTGGAAGTACAAATGTAAAACTGGTTAAATCCTCCCACATGTTATGCCAGTACAAAGGCAAGCTATCTGATTCATGTGTTATTCATAGGTGTTGGTCTTTGTCTTTTTTCCAGCGTAGTTGGGTGTTGGTGTTGTCTGTCGCACAGTCCAATATTTTTGGTATTTCCTGTTACTGTGGATTCATTTATTTTCGTCATTACCAATTTTTGTGGATAGCAGAAAAATAATATTTACATTGATATTTGAATTTTTGGAATTGCTAGTCTGCATATAAGCCTATTGAAAATTGGGACATGTAAATTCATGGTTCATCTAAACATACAAAATCAACAAAAAATTGATATCCCATGAATAATTATGAATCCACAGTATCCTTTTTATGCATTATGTGTATTGTTATAGATTCTATGGACTAAACATGACCATAACTGGAATAAAATAAATATTTTCAGTTTTAAAACACTGTCATCGAGACGTATGACACATCTTGATTTTTAAAATTTATCAACAATGCATTGACACTTTTTCTATGCATTTCTTTCATCAAAAACAATTTCTATTGCAGAATTACTACTGGTTAAAAAAAATTTTGTTGGCGACTACCATATGAAGTTTGTATTCATGTTTGATAAATAATAACATTCTTATTAAATCCAGTAACAATATTTCATGTTTATTCAGGAAAATGTATGTGTATGTAAGTGCATGTATCTGCTAGCTGCATACATCTACACTGATCATGGAGTGTTTTAAAAAAAATAGCAAAGTATGTTAATTGACCAGGTAAAATATATGATAAATACCAGATTTCCAACAGTTCCAAGATTGATTGGTTGCAAGGTAGCATGTTTTTTCTTCACTGGTGGCTCTCCAGAGCTATTGCCCTGGTCCTCTGCTGGCCTCTTTGTAGCCATTCAACAGGTTTGTATTACAGTTCACACTACATCATTTCTATAAAATTATAAATAATTTTTTATTAATGTTCAATATTAATTTTTTAAGAATTTGTATTACATTGATGTCAGGTTTTCTTTTGAAATATCATAGGGTTGGCAGATCAGGATTTTAACAAGTTTAATGTAGCCAACTTTTTCAGTCAAAATCATATTTTAATACAGAAAACAATTGTGGTTACACCGAGTGAGGTATTATAAATCCACCATTCACCATTTGCAATAGTGTGTTTGCCAATTTCTGTAACGAGACCCATTTTATGGTTGTCTCCCTTAAGAGGGAAATAAATTTTCATCGACTACAAAGAGCTAGTGGAAAGAGCAAATTTGTGTGTGTGTAATGCATGTAACCTTTAACTTTTTCAAATCTTTTAATTACATTTTAATTTTTGTTAAGGTAAAAACGTTTTGATACCAGATGTTATTTTTCACTAAAAATTGGTCAGAACACTTATATGTCACTTTCAACTTATCATGCTTGTGTGGAGAAGCCCAGTTTGTCCCTGTATAGAACCGTCTAGAATTGACAAAGGGAAATCATTTGTGTTAAAAAGTGTGTTATAACAGATTCAAATAAGTAATTGGCAAATGGATTATTGTCAATGAACAAAATGAATGTGGTTTTGATCAATTTTTAAAACGATGAGATAGTGGTTGCAACAAATTATATGTTTGTGAAAGTTCTCATCAAAACATTATAGTCAGAGCTCAAAATTAGAAATGTCAGGAAACCAATAACACATATTGTGATGGTTCATTCCTATTAGTTGCAGCCTAACCAACATGACGGATGGAGGCCTTGTGCTCTATGAACCGATTTGGCCACATCCCCATCTAGTCTTCAACTGGAAAACTACTATTTGTGATCACAAATTTTACAGGTAAATCCGTAAACCAATGTCTTATGATTGGACCAACTACCCAACATCTTAGAATGTATCACAAAGACTCTTTTTGTCAGTACATAACAGTCCAACAATCATACAGGCACAAAACCTTAACCCTCTTGCTGCCGAGTTTTTTTCTTGCTTTGTCGCGCCAAAAGCATCTTGACGTTTCATATCTGTGACGTTACAAAACTTGTGCCTCTCTGTAGAACAGCGCTTTCCCGCCGTCCATAATTTTTCCCGCGTCAATGTAGCCGTAATTATGAAAAGCGATGTAAAAGTAATTTTATGAAAACTATTGCTCTAAGATTGTTATAAACGATGTTTTTAATACAATATTATTTAAAAATACAACTTTTAACCTTGCAATAAAGTTTTTTTTATCTTTCTTGTCTTTAAAAAAAATGCAAATAATATAAACGTATTTACACTTATGGTATTTAGCTATATTTTGCCTCCGAATGACCTTAGATCTACTCCGAATCACCTGTTGACGTCAGGCAACAATCACTTTTTGATTGTGACGTCAAATGTTTTGAATTATGATGTCAAAGTTTACGGGAACCTGTGTGATTTTACGTAATGGCGGACAAATTTGCATACAAGTGTAAATACGTCTATACCCATTGATACTAGCTTTATAAGCGCTTTTGTTTTATCTTTGTAAAGTGAAATGCATAACTGATTCTTAACCACCTCTAAAATATTAAAATATATTTATCCTTGTTATCCGATTATCTTGTTATAATTGATAAATACAGTAAAAATATCTCTCAAATAATTATATAAACAAAACAACGGCCCCCAATAAAAATTAAAATAAAAACAATGCGTGTACAATAAAAATAAATAAAAACTCCGAGCAGCCGATTCTATGAACTACTTCTTGTTGTAAAGTATCAAACGTGTCAGATTAAAATTTTCATTCCAATAGATATAGGAAGACGTGGTATGAGTGCCAGTGAGACAACTCTCCATCCAAGTTACAATTTATAAAAGTAAACCATTATAGGTCAAGGTACGGCCTTCAACACGGAGCATTGTTTTGGTAGGCGAGAAAATAATTTTTATAGACGTTATTATCCATATTCATTTTGTCTATTTTTTAATCATGTTTATTATTATTTTGTTGAACAATTATTGCTCAAAATTTTAGAGCAATGTTTGAAAATACGAATTAAAAAAAAAAACAGAAAAGCGAGGGAAAAAAATCTCTAAAATTAATTTCTATTGTCTACAAATGAACCTGAATCAATAATAATTCATTTTCATTTTCTATAATGAAGTACACACTGTAATTGGCATACACGAAATATCTTTTAAAATCTGTTGATTGATAAATTGTTCTCTTATCAACGTTCAGTGGCAAGTGTTTCATGCAATATTAAGGACGTCTGAAATTTAATGTACAATAAATCTGTTGCTCAGTGGGTCCTACAAAGTAAAAGATCTGTGATGAATGGCTGAAAATTGAGGTTGCCACTGGGAAATGATGATATGTAGGATAGGAAAAGAAATCATTGGGTCACCTACTAATTTAACATCCCCATTTCGAATGAAAATAAATATTTTTAGATTAGTGCTTCAATGATGAAACGGGTATAAAATGTACTTAGTATTGAAATATCGTATGGCAATACAAGTATATCGGGTAACATTTGTGTACTTTTACAAAAAAAATCTTCACTGAGAATTCAATCGCGGCATTTGAGCCATAAAGAAATTTTCCAGTTCTCTTAAATAAAGCGTGTATTGTGAATATTAATATTTCGCGTAATCAAGTATAACAGTTACCTTTTCTATGATTATTTATTAGGAATGCGATTATTATATGAGATATTCTGATTGAAAGATGTATGAAAAAAACGTTTAACAAATTTCTCGAAAGTATGCAACATTTTACATGAAAATGACGAACTAGTAAACACGTTAAATAAGTTGGTATTTTAGTACTAACAAGCTTATAATCCTGTATCAATTTTTGACATCCGTCTTAAGTATGCAAATAATGCATTTTATTCAGTTTGCTTCATTCCCGCCAAAATCGTCCTTTTGGCGCCGTCTTTTGACGTTGTCAGTGCCCCTCAGTATTGTGACGTTACCATGGACCTTTGACGTTCTACACAATCAACAAGATTTGTGTGTAGAAGCCATAAATGTCCCTTTGGCAGCAAGAGGGTTAAGCTAGTAGACCTAGTGTTATTTTGGCAAACAACAGACAGTCCATACAATTTTCGCGAAGTCTGAGTGGATGACATCAAACTGTATAATACACGTTTACAACACCCTTTATCCAGCCAATTTTCTGTGAACAATTACAGAATTAGGATGGAGGTTTATTTTAACAGAACTGTTACTATACATGACGCTATATCATAATAAGTAAGCTACATATACAATAAATGCTAGGAAACATTTAACACTTAAAAAAGTATATTTAAAATTGAAAGAAATCTGTTTGTTAATATTTTAAAATAATTTCTTCAAAACTGCAACCTTAGGCTTCCATCTTGAAAAGTCCCGGATGATATTCGAAAATTTCTGGACTTTACACTTGAATGCATGAGAAACTTCAAGATGTTTCGAACGGCGTACACTTCCGGTCAACTGTCAAATCTCATGATTGATAAAATTATCAGTTTATCATATTCACCATCGGTTCAAGATACCAAATTCATTTTTCAAAATACTCAGAACCATGGCTGAAATTGATGAATTAGATGTTAATCCTTTCTTTAGTTCGTTACAGGTAATTTGAAATCAGCTGTAAAGAACTGATGACTGATGTGGATAGTTGTCTCTTTGGCCATCATCTGATCATGCCACATCTTCTTATTTTCAAATTTTGAGGCTAGGTAACATCAGGATTACCATTCTAGTTTGAGAACAATAAACAGTCATGGAATTTATTTTAGTTGTTAAAGAAAATGACATAAGAGACGACTTTCACATTTGTGCATTTTCCCTTGTTTTCCAATGTCACATTGCTTATGTTATAATACATCACAATTTTTGTCCTTTGATTAAAATAGTTACTGACTATGATTATATACTATGTGTGAAAGAGGACGAAGTCCGTATTACAAATTTAAAGTATTGTTGTCATTATTCTTTTTGGTAATCATCAGATATATAAATTTGTGCGGGGAAATTGTAGCACATGGCAGCAGCTGTCAACAGAACAGGAACAGGGTAATGTGCAACTGTTAAACAAAAAGTGAACGATTTTGAGTTCATAAGTATATTGATTTTTCGTTTTTCCTAAATTTTCTTACGGTTATTGGGGACTCCGTCTTCATACAGTATGTATAAGAGAAGGTGTCTGGTATGCAATTGAGACAGCAACCTGGCCAACAACATAACCAGAAACCATCTAGAACTTAGAAGGCAACATATACAGTCTTTAATAATGGACAGGGCAGATGTCTATACAATATGTATGCTCTAAATCAAACTGAATTCTTAAAAGTGGTTCATTATTAAACTTAAAAAAAAACATTAGGAATGAGAACACTAGTATAGATCCTCAGACAGTACTTCTCAACTCCATCTTGCACTTGTTTTTTTATTCACTAGCCAATTTAACAGAATGAGGTAATATGTTGTTAACTTATTTAAGTCCTCGGTTTTCAGGGTGTGGGGCATATTAAGTGTATTAAGTTAATTTGTTATAGTTTTGGCCTTTGATAAAAGCATTTTCTGACTATGATTTAATGTGATTAAACGTAGATTATGGTATATACCAATGAGACAACAGGAACTCAACTACCCCCCAAAAAAACCAAAGACATAGAAGGCATATTACTGTTCAACAAAACGGGTGTCTATACAATATGTAATCATTAAATCATCCTAGTTCACACAGTGGTGATGTTTTCAATATTTTATTTTATGATTATTATATATATGATATACAGATGTAATACCTTAAAAGGATCCTGTTTTTTCTGATTCATAGATAACAACATATAAAAGTTTTGGACAAAAACATCATCATTTCTTGAAAAGATGTATGCCACATTTAAAAAGTGAAATTGTTTTGTTTTTGATAAGCAATGATAAGGTAATTTCCATTTTCAATCTATAACCAAAACCAGGTGACTGGTCCCCTGTCATTGATGAGCAAATAGATAACTGACCCATTCTTGATTTCAATCTTGTCAAATGATTTGAATCTTTTCCATAAAAATCAGAGGATGATTTTGTTTTTTTCTCTTCAAATTATGTTTTAATCTTTACAACAGATATGATATAAATGATACAATATAATTGTGAAATAGACAATACAAGTTATTTTTGGTTGTTGAAAGATCAAATTGTTACATTTAAAGACCATTCCCTGATACCAAAATGATTGGAATATGTAATTAGGGTATTGTTTTATAAATGATATATTATTAATTAAAAAACATTTATTCATGATATAAACTATGACTTAAGCAATTACAATTTTCAGCAATTATTGTGTGCATTTTTTATTGCAATGTTGTATAAATGGACAAAAGTCCAAGGTTAATTATTGTGATTTCAGGAAAAGCATCATACAGATATATGTATCGGGTATAAGAATGCAAGTTCTTCTTAGTGCAATACTCACCCAGTCGCATTATTCACATTCACATGACATTAATAAAAATCTTGCAATAATTTCAAAATTAACAGTACATGTAAGTGGACTATAATTAAGCAAATATCATGTTTTAGCCAATGGCAATAAACAAGCAACAATCAATCATTTTTTTTTTATAGCTAAAAACTAATGGGGAGTGTTTCCTTTAACAGTTTATTTTCTTTATATATACAAAGCTGCTGGGGAAATAATATTTTATCTAAAAATCCTGTTGACACAAAAAGAAACAGAATTGGTGAATTTGGCAATGGCATGTTTACATACATGTACATGTGCATGTATATATAGATAGAGATTATAGTTATTATCTTAAAAGATGAAATAATTGTTTATTCAAATTTTGTTGTGTCCATTAAACATTATTAAGACGTATTTCAGTATTTATCATCAAACTGTTCTTTTTAATTTTTTCAGACTACACATAAAAACCTGTATAAAGAAGTTCAAGACAATGGTTACATACTGTGTGTTCCACAGACAACATCGCTGGTGGAGTCTACATTTTCTGTCAAATTTATAGGTTAGTTTAGGAATTTGTGATTAAAGCTTGATCAGGAGTAAGGCCAAAAACAATATAGTTGTTTTTCCTGCCTTCCTTGTAACCTATCTGAATTTGCATGCCTGCTCGAACACATCTTATTGAAATTTTTGGTTAAGCACTGATTAAGTCCAGAACAAACATTTTGTTTCCCTACATAGTCTATGTAAAACATTTTGAAAAATATTTTTGTTTACCTTCTACGACCTACTCTATTTTTTCTTGTCAAGAGACAGGAAACAATTTTATTTTTTGGAAGGCTCCAGAACATCATATAAAGTTTCATTTCTAGCAGAAGGAATTTTTTAAGTTTAATACTGATCTACTGTAAAGTTATTACAAAAGTACATCAGAACTTTTTCACTTTTTAATGGTACAAAATATGTCAGAATTATTAAAAACAGGACACAATTAAAACGAGTTTACCAATGATAAATCAAAATTGACTATTATTTGATAAATAAACATTTTATATTTTATAAGAATTTGTATTACCGGTCACAGATTAAATATTTTTGTTTTCTGTTTGCTTTCAGCAAGTCATATTTTAAAGCCATCCCCATACTTCAAAGGGTGAGTGTTTATGCACATAATGTTTCTATCAATGCACAAAATTCATTTGAAATAATCATATAATTTTGCCACAATATATTTCAAAAGTCTAACTGAAATATATATTGATTTATTTGATATATATATATTGATATATATATAGATTTGTATTATTTATAAAAGACACTTGTAACAAGGCTTAATACAGAAGACAGAAAATTTGGTAAGTTATCCTAGTTTCTGTGCATGTCTCATGTTTTGCTCTGACAGGGAGAAGTTTTTATAAAAGATTATGCAGATAATACTGTCAAAATAGTGGAACCTCATCAGAGTTACTCAATTAAACTTCACTCTATCATTAATTTCCTGATAGCAACTGAGTAATGAATTTAAATTTTCTTCTGTATGAATCTTATGATTTTATATTTATCCTCTTTCTGGGAAATAAGAAATTATTTTTATCTTTCAGAGAATATTTTTTGTTGTCCAGTGATAAAATGTCAGTTCATCTAGATGAAAAAAGAAAAGAATTTGTAACTGGTGAAGGTAATACATTTGATGATCATAAAGTATATATTATTAAGGTTATTTTTATGTAGTGAGCAAGCTTGTTAAAAATTCAGTTAAGTGTACATATGTAATAAGGTTCATTTTGATATGGTCTTAAATATGCATGCAAAATTTTCAATTTTACATTATTATGATTAAGGATTAATCATTTTAATCATTCAATAGAAATGTAATCTGAGTTTAAAAAGTCACTGTTTATGATAGCATAACAATGTTATGTATGTTACAGGTTATGAAGGAAAACATCATATCAAAATAATCAATGAAGAACAGGGATACAGTCAGGTATGTGTATTACAGAACACACACTGATTCAGTTAAAATAAAACTTTGATGTTGATTTTCCAAAGTCAAATCCGGTGACTTGATGAATTTTTTTTATGTTATGAAGCTCACAGGTTTCGTACATTTTACCGAAATTCAGCAAAGAAAATCTTGCATTTTCATCTGGAAATTTATCATTACTGCTATTTTTTGAGGCAATCTGTGTTTTGTTCAAGTAAAATTATTCATACAATATTTTATTGCTGACAAAAAATATGATTGCAAACACCTGCAAAATAAAAAAAGATCAATTGATTTATTGTTAGATAAACTGGACAAATTCAAAATCATAGAATTGAATGACCGTTCTGTAATTCACAAAAAATGACTCCATTGACAAAACTTCACATCATTAGATTATGATAAACATTGAATTATGATAAATTCATTTCCAAAAAGAACATACTATAAGTTTATGATAAACATTAAATTATGAAAAAAAAGAAACTTTTCCAAAAAGAACACAGCATTAGATTTAGATAAACAGACAGTCACAAGAAACAAAATATTTATAGGATGACTATTTTGGAATGTTATTGTTTTAAAACAAAACAGTTTTTTAGTCCCCTACCGACGAAGTCGAAAGGGACTTAAGGTTTGCACTCTGTCCGTCTGTCCATCCGTCAGTCCGGCAACTCAGCTTTCCATACTTTTTTTCTTCGTTCTTGATGATATCGATTTGATATTTGGTATATAGTTTTATCATGACAAGTTATAGATCAAGTTCGAATTTTGTTCCGGTCTGATGATTTAGTCCAGAGTTATGGTCCATGAAAAAACTCCATAACTAATGTTAGAGTACTATGTTAAACCATATAATCTGAACAAAGGGAGATAACTCATTTTTTAAAAGACATTCTTTGGTAAATTGTTTGAGGAATTTTGTGGCAGGTTTATATGTTATTTTGTATAAACTAATTTTCTGAATGCTACATGTATATATATATATATTTTTTTAATTCTTTAATTAGATAATAATCTATTTTTATTAAGGTATATATTTCATTACATTACATTGTGTAGATAAAAGTTGTTGACATTTTATAGGTAAGTTACAAATCTATATTAGTTTGTGACAAATGAAAGAAAAAATATTTGGAACTATTAATTATATTTGATTGTAATTTGAAAATAGATATACATTGTAATACATCATATCTAATGTTAGAGTGTTATAGGTTTTCCACACTTTTTTTCATCATGCTTGAAAATATTGATTGACAATTGGTAAATAGTTTTATCATGACAGATCAAGTTCAAATTTTTGTTTCGGTCTGATAATTTTGTGCAGAGTTATGGTCCTTGGACTTGAAAAAATTCACTCATATATTCAGTTTTCCACACTGTTTTTAGTCATGCTTGAAGATATTGACTTGATATTTTCTTTTTGTTTACACCATGACAAGTAATAGAACAAGTTAGCATTTTGTTCCAGTATAATGAATTTTTACCCGGTAGGGGACTATGTATTGCCATGCAATACTCTCAGAATGCTTGTTAAAATTAATTTTTTTTTTATTAAATCTTTTTTCAGGATTACAAACCATTTAGAATTCTAGTTATAGAGAAACCTTTTGATTCAATGTATATGGTATGTAGTATTGATTAGTTATGGACATAAATTTTATGTCTCGCTGAAACAACCACATACTGTGGATTCATTTATTTTCGTGGGTATCAATTTTCGTGGATTGAGGAAAACTTGCATTTTGTGGATATTTGATTTCGTGGTTTTGCCAATCTGTGCATACAAAGCCTATAGAAAACTTGTAATTCGTTGAACATTTGAATTCGTGGTTCACCTGTACCCACAAAACCCACGAAAATTGGTATCCAACGAATAATAATGAATCCACAGTACATAAACAAATGCATTTACTGTAAAAATTAGTTTTATTTGGTTTTATTTCAAAACTTGAAGTTAAACTTTCATGGGCTTGTGAACAGTTCAGATAAAAAATGTCTCTTTGCTACATAAATCATTCTGTAATTATTTTCATTATATCATTCTTACTTTGTTACAGCTAAAATTATATAATGTGAACTAATCTTCTTGCAAGCTGGAAATTCTATTTTAATTTTATACAGACCTGTTTTCAGACATATTAAATTTTGAACTCAGATTAATGTAAAGTACATGTAGTGTAACTCTTTAATAGTTGTAGGGAAAATTCAAATTGACTTGACCATTGTGTAAATTTAGATGTATGAGAATACATGTGAAGAGGGTTTTCATATTATTATCCAATAGATGCAGTTTTCCAGTAATTCTTGTCTTTTTAGATATACTGAAAATATGCCAAAAGAATGTTAGCAATCAATGATGTTTGAAAATTTCTTTTGATGAATTATACCACAGAATAGTTGCAGTTTGATGTCTCCGAATATCTTATTTTTGAAGTACTGTAAATTCAGAAATTATTGCAAGATTTTTATTAATGCAAATAATGCGACTGGGTGAGTATTGCAATAATAAGAACTCGCAATTTGATAACTGAAACATAGACCTGTATGCAGATTTTTTTCGAAATTGCAATAATTAAAATCACATTTTTGTCCATTCTTGAAAGGTCGCAATAATAAATGCACACAAATTTTGAATTTACAGTATATATATGAGTGTCCTGTAGCAAACGAAACATTTTGTAAAGAACTCACCGTATTTTTTTTCTAGACATCCAATAACAAGAAACAAAATAGTATTGAAACACCCCCACAGAAGATTACTTTTGCAGAGTAAGTGTGTTTTTTTTATTAACTCAAACAGTTCATCTGACATCACAGATAAGTGTGATTCCTTTCACTACAATGATAGGTCAACTAGGGAAGAAAATAAGGATAAATTGGTAAAGTTCCATCAAATTTCCAAAGTTCTTCACCATTTACACTAAGACTTTTGACAGCTGGAAAACATACTTTAATTTAAAGATAAATAAAGATCAAGTTTCTTTCCATTGCTTATGTTTTAATTGATTGTAAACAAATAATCTATTCCATTTTTCGTGAAAATGAAGTGGCTAATCAATTGTATATGTTCCATATTTCAGGTGTAAAGAGTTCTTGCAATCTTTTGGTGAATATAAAATGGTGAGTTTTTCGTAAAGTTACTAAACAAATTTTAAGTATGTAACCAAATAATTGAAAAAATTGAAGTTAAAGTATGCTAGTAGTAACTATGAGAATGTAGAAGGTCAAGAAACTAACAATAACATTAGCGGTACCAATTTTACTGCACCAGATGCTCATTTCAACAATTAATGTCTCTTCAGGGATGCTCGAAGCTAAAAATGTTTGAAAATCCGAAACTTACTATAAAATTGGAGAGCTGATATATAATTGTTTGATATAAAATAAAATCTCATATATCTTCTAGTGAGCAATCTGATGATATGAATTCTATAAAACAAACATGTAGGAATAAACATATGATATGCCTATACTATACAAATAAAGTATTAGGTATATTGCTTCAGTAATGAGAACATAACAATTGACAATTTTTTGTAGTCATTTTTTGTTATGATTTAATATTTGAAAAATGCATGCATGCATTTTCTATTTTACTCATGTAAATATTGTCACCATATTACATTCCTTTATTGATCTCATACTATATTTTACAGATTTTGCGACATTTAGAAGACAGTGTCAATCAATTCAATACAAGTTACATGGTTTTAGAAGATTATTTAGACGATGCTTTGGAAAAACTTCAATCCATAGCTTCTAGTGCTACTGAGGTTAGCATTTGCATAAACAAATGTTTTAGATTTGCATTTTTTTGTATTTCCTTTATTTTCATATAAAAGCAAGTTTCTGTGGAATCAGTTGTCAGACAATAACACTGAGAATATGAACATCATCTTTGCAGCTTTAATACATTAGATTATTGAGGCCCTCCATAGGGGTGTCCAAGTAATCACATAATCACAAATTTTTATGCCCCCACCGTAGCGGAGGGGGCATTAAGTTTTATCCTTGTCTGTACGTACGTATGTTCGAACGTACATACGTCCGTACGTCCCAAAATCGGTTTCTGTTCTCTAACTTGAGTTTGCCTCAACCAAATGTTCTGAAACTTATACACAATGCTTATTACCACAAAATACAGATCAAGTTTGAATTTTGGTAGCGTCACTCTAACTGTTCTAGAGTTATGCCCCTTTATAAATGGAAAAATTACAAAATTTTTAGTTTCCTTTCTCTAACTTTAGTTTTCCTCAACCAAATGTTATGAAACTTATACACAATGCTTATTACCACAAAACACAGATCAAGTTTGAATTTTAGTGGCGTCACTTTAACCTTTCTAGAGTTATGCCTCTTTATGAATGGAAACATTGCTAAATTTTTAGTTTCCGTTCTCTAACTTAAGTTTGTCTCAACAGAATATAATAAAACTTATACATAATGCTTATAACCACAAAATACAGATCAAATTTGAATTTTGGTGGGGTCACTCTAACTGTTCTAGAGTTATGCCCCTTTATCAATGGAAAAATTACAAAATTTTTAGTTTCCTTTCTCTAACTTAAGTTTGCCTCAACCAAATGTTATGAAACTTATACACAATGCTTATTACCACAAAACACAGATCAAAATTGAATTTTGGTGGTGTCACTTTAACCGTTCTAGAGTTGTGCCCCTTTATAAATGGAAAAATTTCAAAATGTTTAGTTTCCGTTCTCTAACTTAAGTTTGCCTCAACCAAATATTATGAAACTTATACACAATGCTTATTACCACAAAATAAAGATCAAGTTTGAATTTTGGTGGGGTCACTGTAACCATTCTTGAGTTATGCCCCTTTATAAATGGAAAAAAATGCAAAATTTTTAGTTTCTGTTCTCTAACTTAAGTTGCCTCAACCAAATGTTATGAAACTTATACACAATGCTTTTTACCACAAAACACAGATCAAGTTGAATTTTGGTGGTGTCACTTTAACCGTTCTAGAGTTATGCCTCTTTATGAATGGAAAAATTGCAAAATTTTTAGTTTCTGTCCGTTAAGTTTGCCCCAACCAAACATTATGAAACCTTTACACAATACTTATTATCACAAAACTCAGATTAAGTACAAATTTGGGTAGTGTCACTTCTATTGTTCTTGAGTTATGTCCCTTTATAATGTTGTATGCAAGCGGGGACATCATCTGTGTCCATGGGGACACATTTTCCATTTATTTGCTAATATAATCACATAATCATTAATATTTTTTTTAAACAAGATAATCAAATAATCAAAAATACAGTCCTAGATTATCAAATAATCATGAAATATTTTGTCTGGTAATCAAATAATCACTATAAAAACGGCCAAGTAATCACATAATCAAAAACCCCATGAGGAGGCTCATAATTTTTGATGATGTCTTAAAACTGCATTCACATACAAATTAGATTACTTCCACCTCATGTTAAATTGAATGTTTCAATACACATGATAAATTATTTGATATACATTGGCTTCTCAGGGAAATATAATTTATAAAATCATGTTTTATTTTGAGGAGCATTTGAATTGGCAATACTTATAGATTACCAATGGTTTTTCAAACGAGAGGGGGGTTTCTCAGCCACAATCTCATCGAAGGGCAATAGAGATGTGGACAAGAAACTAAATATGAAAGACCATTGATGATCTTTTTATAGCTATTTTGCCTATGACATCGTTCTTGTTTACGTTGACAATGACATGTGTGCCCTTAGTTTCAAGCAATAATTTTCTATCTCAAGGCAGAAGCATGATATGAAATATTATCACAAAAAATTATTAAAGGAAAAATACTCAAAACAGCGTCTTTTAAGTAATTGTTGAAAAAAATTAAGCAAATTTTTAAACCTTCAAAATCAGCATTTGAATAAAACACTTTCTGAAATAAATGTAAAGTGGTTTACTTTTAGCGGCGTTTAAATCTCACAGTTTCAAATGCTAAATATATTGGAGAAGTTTTATTTTTGCATTATTTTTGTCTCTGATTATGATTTTCCTTAAAGATAAAATCCAAATGAGGAAAAATTTTGGTGTTTTATGTGAATCGCAGAATTAGGAACAAAAAATTGTTCTAGAAAATTTTCCATGTTTTACATAGTAAGACAGGTTTCATAGGTTTCATTGTTTATGAGAGATATCATTTACCAAAATGAAAGAAAAAATGAAAAATGAAAAAGCTCGAAAATGGGGACTAACAGGTAAAGGTGTTCATCATTTCATGAATTTTTGTTGCAATAAATCACTTTTGGAACAAGAAAAACAAACTGTTTTCCCCAACCAAGATTTTTTTATTATGATTATTAATTCTATCTCTCTTTTGTCAAAAATGTTTGTAGCAGTATATAAGAGTCAAACGAAATCTAAAATCAGAACAAGATATCTTTAGCTTGATATGCTTTAAGTTTGGATAGATCGTTTTATTTATTTCAGAAATGTTTCAAATGTAGTAAACACAAACTTTGGCAAGACATGTCATTTAGAGATGACCTCAGTTCCTGTATAGAAAGGTAAACATATAACATATGATTAAAAGAAAATGTGGGCATTCATCACATAGACAACAACCCAATGACACATCAACTTAAAGACATTTGAATGTCAACTTACAGTCCTCAATAATAGACAAGTTCAATACATGTCCTGATTCTATGAAAGATGTGAATAGATTGAACAGAGACAAATAAATTATAAAAACATTAAAATATTACAAAGACAATCAAATAAGAGGTATTTGTAAATTTATAAAGGTCAGAGAAAAATTAGAACAAAATGTCTAGAAATGGCAAAATAAATTAAAAAGGACCCCTTTAGTGTCTTTTTGGTTGTGGGGATGTATATGTACCCTGCCACGTCCGGTCTGTGTTTTTGTTATATGTATTTCTGTTTTGTATCGATCTGATGAGTTAAGCCCTTTTCAACTGATTTTTATAGTTTGTTCTTATGTTGCACTGTCCCAGGTTAGGGGAGGGTTAGCACCTTCAAACTACTTTAACCCCACCACATTCTGTATGTGGCTGTTCCAAGTCAGGAGCCTGTAATTCAGTGGTTGTTGTTTGTTGCTGTATATCATATTTGTTTTTTTCGTTCATTATTTTGTAGATAAATCAGGCCAGTAGTTTTCTCGTTTGAATTGATTTACATTTGTCATTTCGGGCCCTTTTATAGCTGACTATGCGGTATGGGTTTGCTCATTGTTGAAGGCCATACGGTGACCTATAGTTGTTAACTTCTATGTCATTTAGTCTCTGGTGGAGAGTTGTCTTGTTGGCAATTATACCATATCTTCCTATTTTTATATCTACAGATAATATACATACATACCTTTTCTGAAGAAAAAAAAAAGAAAAGATTTCACTGATTTTGGTTTGACACAAGCAAAAATATTTTGTAAAGTAGATATGTATATTGAATCACTGTGTAATAGTTCCTTGGTTTTAAAGTTGAATGTATTGTATGGAATGGTAATTTATATCTTTCAGAACAGAAATCAGATATCAGATTACTACATTGCAAAACTATTTTATAAGATAAATTTAAAGTTTAAATATCAGTCACTGACAGTCAGTCACCTTATTAAACCATAGATGTATTTTTGTATATTTGATTGTATAGTTGTGATTAAGTGTCATTGCTATTCATTCCACATGTTATTTTTTATAATTGTATTTCATTGATTCATAACCTATGATAGTGAGCAAATAATGTGAATAAGTCATATTTAAGCTGTCAGGACTTGCAAAATAACTTATACATTACTGTAAACTCAGAATTATTGCGATTTTTAATGATGGATAATAATGCGAGATTAATTATTGCAATTTTAGGAAAAATCTGCATACAGATATATGTTTCAGATATCAAAATGTGAGTTCTTATGATTATCACAATAATAAGAACTCACATTTTGATATCTGAAACATATATCTGTATGCAGATTTTTGACTCACCCAGTCACATTATTCACATTGATAAAAACCTTACAATCATTTCTGAATTTACAGAATTTAAACGTGACATGTATATGATGTACCCCTCATATGTAGTGGGCCATGGAATATGATCAAAAGTGAATAAACTCCCATTTACCAAAAAATGAACTCAATTAGAAAATAAGAGTGTTTCAAATGCATTATATGTATGCCAAATAGGTCAGATACTTAATTAAAGTGCAAGTTGTATCTCAAATCCAGATGTCTCTAATAGATGTTATGATAGTATTTTATTAATTTTTACAGTTATATAATGGGAAATGTTCACCAGACTATGTTCAAAGTTCTTCACAAGAAATTTGCTACAGATGATGAAAAATTATTAAAGAAATGTAAACAATTACAAGATGTCAAAGTGGAACAGCTTGGTGTACCGCCAGAGTTCTCCTGTCCTCTACCTTTAGCAGTAAGTCAATAGAACAGCTTTGTGTCTCCACTGTAATAGTGCCAGCTGTAATAGTTTCCACTGTAATGATCTCCACTGTAATATCCTCCACTGTAATTTTGCCCGTTGTAATAGTTTCCACTGTAATGGTCTCCATTGTAATATCCTTCACTGTAATAATGCCTGTTGTAATAGTTTCCACTGTAATTGTCTACACTGTAATATCCTTCACTGTAATAGAGCCGTTGTAATAGTTTCCACTGTAATGGTCTCCACAGTAATATCCTCCACTGTAATATCCCTCACTGTAATATCCTTCACTGTAATAGTGCCCGTTGTAATAGTTTCCACTGTAATATCCTTCACTGTAATAGTGCCCGTTGTAATAGTTTCAACTGTAATTGTCTACACTGTAATATCCTTCACTGTAATAGTGCCCATTGTAATAGTTTCCAATGTGATATTCTTTCCAGTATTGATGATCACTGTAATATCCTCCACTGTAATGTAGTCTCCACTGTGATTAATATCCTCCACTGTAATATAATCTCCACTGTGATTAATATCCTCCACTGTAATATCTTTCACTGTAATAGTCTCCACTGTAATAGTTTCTACTGTAATTTCCTCTTTAGTAATAATCTTCCATTGTTATAGTCTCCACTGTAATATCCTCCACTGTAATATCCTCACATGCATATATTTACGGCTAAACCTAATATATAACTGTACACCAAAGCAATCACAGATTATGAAGACGACAGCAGTTTCATGCCATACATTTGTTATGTTGTAGTTCTATAAATGTGTTGTGTAGAATCTGTTTCTTTTTGAATTGATCCTGGTAAGTAATATATTACTTTGTAATAACAAGACAAACACATATACAGATCACACTGTTTTCGATATTTCAGAGTTTTACATTACAATGCAAAAAAGTTCAAGCAACACAAATAGTAAATGAAGTCATTGTCCAATGAAAAATAATTATGAAAAAGTCCTGGAAATATTAATATAAAACTATTAACTGGGGTAAAAGTCTGTGAAATTACTGACTGGCAAATAGTCTGTGGAATGAAAAAGCACAAAACTGTTATTCTTTTTTATATAGAAAAAAAACATACTGTGGTATAATAATTTTAATATTACCAGAAATTTCCTTGGACCAACTGTGTGTTGTAAGCAGAATAAAATATTAAATGCATATGAATTGCAGGTTGTAGAAATGGCAAATCTTGGAGGGCTGAAAACTCCACATGAAAAATTGAATTGTTTAAAGGCCACTGTGGTAGGTATTTAGAGTATTATTATTATTTTTAATTTACTAGTGTGCAAAGTGTGAAAACAAGAACATTTTGTTTGGTTTTTGGTTTAAACATGATAAATAACCAAAGAATGTTTGTTGTATGATCTTTTGTAACAGAGTTCTTGGCTTGGGGTTTGAATAGGATTTTGTTTGGACAGGTTTCATTGTAAATTATAGATATATAGCACCAAAGAAACACTTTAAAGTAAAAAATAAGCTGGCCAAATATTTCAACTATTGAAGGTCTTTACCATGCAACTAGAAGTTGGAAATTAACAGAACGGTATGTTGTAGCACTTTTTTTATTGTTAAGTGTGGTATGTTTATTTCAGGATCATATAACAGGCACTATACAGAATTTTATAATAGATAACCAACCACCTGGACTTACAGGTAATGCAAACAATCATCACATAATCTGATGCAACACTTTATATTATATGTATATGCCTCTAAAATTACTCTTTTGATTTAAAACCTTACAACTGAAACAACAAACTGTGTTAATAAGTGTTCTTGCATCTGGTCAATTAAATTTGAAATTGTTAGAAGGTTTATTTGTACTTTTAAAAATATATACTGCTCAGTTCAAAAAGCCTGCTTTGTGTTGATTTTACCCTTAGATTTTCTCTAGTTTCGCCTAAGAAAACAGGTTTCCACAATTGATTTTTATGCCCTTACCGCTAGGCTTAGGGTAAAAAATTACAGACAGTCTACCCTCTCGGTCTTAATGATAATATCATGGGAATTGGTAATATATCAAGAACCGATTCTGTTAACATTTTGGATATAGTTTCGAAAACTGTTCGTAAAAACTGTTCTCATGGTCTTAGAAAAAATCGCAATCAAAGAAAATTTCGGACCAATCATACCAATATTTCAGACCTAATTTCTATTTCAAAAAACAACGGCAGACATTATCTGTTAACAAAGATCTGTTCATTACCGGTTAATAAGTTAAATAAAATTTTAGAGGATTGCAACACAATTTCATATAGCAGTCCTAAGTATGAAATCGTTCAAATTATAATGGCATATTGTTATTCTAAACTGTTTCCCAAAATTGATCGCCCTGAAGATCATAAAAAACAGTTTATTAAAATAAAGGTTTTGATTTTGTAAATATTGCCGGTATTTTTAACGACCATTCTGTTAAAGAACAAATTCCGGGATATTTTGATAATACTGAGCTCCCTCTTATTTGTTATATTTACAAGAAATCTACCCGGAAATTTGTAAGAAAGATGTTAATATCGGTGAAAATACACCTACTTCACGTAATTGCAGTAATTCCGAATACATTTATGGACCCATTTCCCATGTTATAACAGGAGATCTTAACATCGTTCAAGACTGAGAGTTAAAATCATTCCTCAGTAAAGGACCTAAATATCGTCCCCCATCAATTATTAATTGGAATGAGTGTCGTAATATCATCCACGACTCACTCCATACTTACTGTTTGAAATGGATAAAACGGGAAAAAGCTGACAAAAAATCTTTGGACTCTTTTTTTAAATCAGTAATGAACATAGTTGATATACGTATTCAACATTTTAAAGAACATTTTACTCTTAACAATAACCACAATAAACCTATTTCTCGTATCAAACATAAACTAAAAGAACTAGCCAAGGAATTTGTTTTTGTCCCGGCCGATAAAGCTGCTAATAATGTTATTATTGTTTGACGTAAATTTTACATTGAGGTTCTGAAAAAAGAAATCACCAATTCACCAACATTCCAACTGACTCCATTTTCAGAAAACGACATCTGTAACAAACATAAACTTTTAGCTACCGCTTTACAAGCAGAACCAAATACAATGAAAGTCCCAACTATGTATTGGCTTCCGAAGCTACACAAAACACCTTACAAATATAGATTCATTTCGTCTTCAAGCCATTGTTCCACTACTTAATTGTCTATTCTTCTTACCAGTACACTTGGTACAATCAAAAACCTGATAATAAATTGTTCAAATAAGGCCTTCGAAAATAGTGGAATTAATTACTTTTGGAGTGTCAAGAACTCGTTGGAAGTACTTGATAAATTGCATGCATATATTGGTGATTTTGAATCTGTTCAAAGTTTTGATTTTACCCTATATACCACATTGCCTCACATTCTCATTAAGAAAAAATTCACACACCTAATTAAATGGGCATTTAAAAAGTCAGAATGTGAATATATATGTTCAAACTCTTTTAGGTCATTTTTTAGTAGCAATAAACAAAAAAACTATGTCAATTGGACATGCTTTGATACTATATATGCCCTTGAATTTTTACTAGATAACATTTTTGTTCGCTTTGGAGATTCCGTATATCGTCAGGTTATCGGAATTCCAATGGGGACTAACTGTGCACCACTTATTGGGGACCTTTTTTTGTATTGCTATGAGTTACAATTTATGACAAAAATCAGCAAAGACCCATCGAAACAACATCTGATACACAAATTTAATAATACTTTTAGATATTTGGATGATATTTTGGCTCTCAATAATGACGACTTCAGTATGTATACTAAAGAAATTTATCCTGTTGAACTTACTTTAAATAAAGCTAATACTAACAATGACCACTGCCCTTTCCTCGATCTTGATATCTATATCATTAACGGAAAGCTTAATACTAAAATATATGATAAAAGAGATGATTTTTCATTTCCTATCGTTAATTATCCATTTTTAGATGGTGACGTTCCCTTGTCACCATCTTACGGTGTTTATATATCTCAACTTGTACGATTCGCTCGTGTATGTAACAATGTTTTAGATTTTAACGAGAGAAATTTATGTATTACTGAAAAATTATTACACCAGGGTTTTCGATATCACAAACTAGTCAAAACATTTACTAAATTTTATCATCGGTATAAGGACATCATTCATAAATATAGCTCAACATGCAGACTTCTTATACGTTCAGGTATTTCACATCCAATTTTTTATGGAAATATTCTTTATAAAGCACAAAAATGTCAGTATTCACCTCAGAAGCTAACAAAACCTTTAAATAGACTTATTAAGAAGGGATATAGTTACGATACTGTTGTCAGGTCATTAAAGATTGCATATTTTGGCGTTAATATTGATTCACTTATAGGGTCTTTGCATCGGCACTAAACACATTTATTTAAAAACCAGTTGTTGGCATGACATGGGTTATGTTCTTCTCATATATGTTATGATGGTATGATACTAAACCCCTAACGGGAAGGATTGTGCCTGATATTCATATGATGAAGACATAATCTTTCAATCAGTTTAATTGAAGTCTGGAGCTGGCATGTCAGTTAACTGCTAGTAGTCTGTTGTTATTTATGTATTATTGTCATTTTGTTTATTTTCTTTGGTTACATCTTCTGACATCAGACTCGGACTTCTCTTGAACTGAATTTTAATGTGCGTATTGTTATGCGTTTACTTTTCTACATTGGCTAGAGGTATAGGGGGAGGGTTGAGATCTCATAAACATGTTTAACCCCGCCGCATTTTTGCGCCTGTCCCAAGTCAGGAGCCTGTAGCCTTTGTCAGTCTTGTTTTATTTTTAATTTTAGTTTCTTGTGTACAATTTGGAGTTTAGTATGGCGTTCATTATCACTGAACTAGTTATACGACCGCAAATATTAAAAATTTTTTGGTCGTATATTGGTATGACGTTGGCGTCGTCGTCGTTGTCGTCTGGCGTCGTCCGGCGGCGTCCGAAGACACATTGGTTTTCGCACTCTAACTTTAGTTTAAGTGAATGGATCTCCATGAAATTTTACCATAAGGTTCAATACCACGAAAGGAAGGTTGGGATTGATTTTGGGGGTTATGGTACCAACAGTTAAGGAATTAGGGGCCAAAAAGGGGCCAAAAATAAGCATTTTTGTAACTTCCAGCCAATAACTTGTGTGTAAGTGTATGGATCTCTCTGACATTGTACCACAAGGTTCCATATCACAAAGGAAAGGCTGTAATTGATTTTGGGGGTAATTGCCTCAAAATTTTAGGAATTAGGGGCCAAAAAAGGGGCAAAAAACAAGCATTTTTCTAGTTTCATGACAATAACTTGTGTGTAAGTGTTTGGATATTTCTGAAATTGTACTACAAGGTTCCATATCACAAAGGGAAAGCTGGAATTGAGTTTGGGGGTAATTGCCCGAAACGTTTAGGAATTGGGGGCCAAAAAGGGGCCAAAAATAAGCATTTTTCTAGTTTCCAGACAATAACTTGTGTTCAAGTGTATGAATCTCTCTGAAATTGTACTGCAAGGTACCATACCACAAAGGGAAGGCTGGGATTGAGTTTGGGGTGATGAATCATAAGGGGTTCAAAAAATTTGGGGGGGGGGGGGATTTTTTTTTCCTTTTTTTTTTCTTTTTTTCCTTTTTTTTTTCTTTTAAAATTTTCCATTTTACGTTGGTTATTTCTGATTAATATTTAAAAGCAAATAATAATGATATGGTAGGAGATACACACCAAATAGGATGTGTAAATTATTATATAATAAGTATTGTGCAATAGCAAGAAGTTTTCAATTGCACAGTATTGCACAATAGCAAGAAATCTTCAATTGCACAGTATTGCGCAATAGCAAGAAATCTTCAATTGCACAGTATTGCGCAATAGCAAGAAATATCCAATAGCACAATATTGTGCAATAGCAAGAAATTGTCAATTGTACAGTATTGCGCAATAGCAAGAAATATTCAATTGCACAGTATTGTGCAAAAGAAGATACATCGTATAAATTGCTTATTTCTTGATCAATTTCAATGGGGTTTTATTCTTGAATTCTTGGGGTTCTTTAATATGCTGAATCTAACAGTGTATTAAGTTTTTGGATTTTGGGCCCCGTTTTTAAATTGGTCCACATTGAGGTCCAAAGGGTCCAAAATTTAACTTTGTTTGATTTCATCAAAAATTGAATTATTGGGGTTCTTTGATATGCCGAATCTAACCGTGTATTTAGATTCTTAATTTTTGGTTCCATTTTCAAATTGGTCTACATTAAGGTCCAAAGGGTCCAAAATTAAACTTAGTTTGATTTTAACAAAAATTGAATTTTTAGGGTTCTTTGATATGCTGAATCTAAACATGTATTTAGATTTTTGATTATGGGCCCAGTTTTCAAGTTGGTCCAAATCGGGGTCCAAAATTAAACTTTGTTTGATTTCAACAAAAATTGAATATATGGGGTTCTTTGATATGCTGAATTTAACCATGTATTTAGATTTTTGATTTTTGGGCCCCGTTATCAACTTTGTCCACATTGAGGTCAAAAGGGTCCAAAATTAAACTTTGTTTGATTTCATCAAAAATTGAATTCTTGGGGTTCTTTGATATGCTGAATCTAACCATGTATTTAGATTTTGGATATTGGACCATAATAGGTGAATGTCCAATTTAAAATTTTTAAGTTCTTAGACCACATTCATTCTGTGTCAGAAACCTATGCTGTGTCAAATATTTAATCACAATCCAAATTCAGAGCTGTATCAAGCTTGAATGTTGTGTCCATACTTGCCCCAACTGTTCAGGGTTCGACCTCTGCGGTCGTATCAAGCTGCGCCCTGCGGAGCATTTTATATATATATTTGTTTAGGGGCCAGCTGAAGGACGCCTCCGGGTGCGGGAATTTCTCGCTGCATTGAAGACCTGTTGGTGACCTTCTGCTGTTGTCTGTTCTATGGTCGGGTTGTTGTCTCTTTGACACATTCCCCATTTCCATTCTCAATTTTATTAGGGTGTTAAGTGTTACCCTTGTCCGTCCATACATACGTCTGTACATCTGTCCGTATGTTCATACATCCCAAAATTGGTTTCTGTTCTCTAACTTTAGTTTGCTTCAACCAAATATCATGAAACATGTACACAATGCTTATTACCATAAAACACAGATCAAGTTCGAATTTGGGTGCTGACACTTTTACAGTTATCTAGTTATTTCCCTTATAATGTTATATATTTTTTAAATGGTTAACATATATATGTTTTAAGTTATAACACAAATTGTGTGATATTTGTATTTTATATTGCATAATATGTGATGCAAGTGGTACAAATGCTATGCATAAATCAGTGATATTCAATAGATAACATGATGTGTTGCATGCTAATAGTCTGTTTGTATGTATAATCATTGTCAAATAGAATATTGTATTGAAGCAATAAAGTATTTTATTTCTATTGTAGATTTACCAGTAATAACTTCAGATGATCTCATTCCATTACTTGTAAGTTTAGAATTACAATATATGCACATACTATTCATTAGATTAGGCTACACACACTACTTATTCTTCAGTCTCTTCAGAAGTTTTTTTTGTTTATTAAAAAAAAAGGAAGTGGTATGAATACCAATGAAACAACCATCCACCAGAGACCAAAGAACAGGATATAAACAAATACAAATGTTAAGTTTTTTATATTCTGTGTGTGAAGTATTTACAGTACACCATTGGTATTTTATGTGCATTACATGAGACTAAAGCAAGCTCTATTCTTTAAATAAGGTTTCATTGACTTTGAAATTTTTTTAAATAGTTTTAGAAGTAAATTCATCTTGGATTAGCTGCATTAGTGTTCAGCAATTTACAATAGACCTTAGTTATTTGGTATGCTATTGTATAAGCATCTGCATATCTCATTTTTGTCGAGCCTGCGACTTTTGTCGCAAAAGCGAGACATAGCGATCCTACATTCCATCGGTGGCGGCGGCGTCCACAAATATTCACTCTGTGGTTAAAGTTTTTCAAATTTTAATAACTTTCTTAAACTATCCTGGATTTCTACCAAACTTGGACAGAAGCTTGTTTATGATCATAAGATAGTATCCAGAAGTAAATTTTGTAAAAAAAAAATCCTGTTTATCCGTATTTTACTCATAAATGGACTTAGTTTTTCTGCCAGTTAACATTACATTCACTCTGTGGTTAAAGTTTTTCAAATTTTAATAACTTTCTTAAACTATCCTGGATTTGTACCATACTTGGACAGAAGCTTGTTTATGATCATAAGATAGTAATCAAAAGTAAATTTTGTTAAAAAAAAATCCTGTTATCTGTACTTTACTTATAAATGGACTTAGTTTTTCTGCCAGTTAACATTACATTCACTCTGTGGTTAAAGTTTTTCAAATTTTAATAACTTTCTTAAACTATCCTGGATATTTGTACCATACTTGGACAGAAGCTTGTTTATGATCATTAGATAGTATTCAAAAGAAAATTTTCCTGTTTATCCGTATTTTACTTATAAATGGACTTAGTTTTTCTGCCAGTTAACATTACATTCACTCTGTGGTTAAAGTTTTCAAAATTTTAATAACTTTCTTAAACTATCCTGGATTTGTACCAAACTTGGACATAAGCTTGTTTATGATCAAAAGCTAGTATCAAGAAGGAAATTTAAAAAAAAAAAAATATCCTGGTTTTCCGTATATTACTTATAAATGGACTTAGTTTTTCTTCCAGTTAACATTACATACAGTCTGCAGTTAAAGTTTTTAAAACATTATTAGATTCATAAACCATCCTGGATTCTTACCAAACTTGAACAGAAGCTTCTTACATTCAAAAGATAGTATCTAGAGGAAAATTTTTAATAATTATTTCCCCATTTTTGTTGAGCCTGCGACTAACAGCAAAAGTAGGCGAGACACTGGGTTCCGTGGAACCCTTACGAATTTTCTAGTAAATTATGTGAAAGTTAGCTTTTTAGTCCACTCCTCTATATTCATAGTAATTATATGGTTCAGTGATTAGTAGAGATTATGAAGTAAGTGACACATGGTATCCACTCCTATATAGTATATATATATATGCATTTACTGTATTTGAAAGCCCATCTAATTGCTGTCTTTTCGTTTAGTTTAAACATATTTTATTGTTCAAAACGAAGAGAACGATTAGACACAAGTGGTTCGTTTATTTGGCAGCATTTTGGCCTCAATGTAGGCACATCATATCTCTGTGTTAACATTTATATAATCAAAAGCAAAAAGTAGCTGAATGGAAAATTATTGGTTTTAAACTTCTATAAGCATGTTATTTCTGAATATATTTTTCTAATAACTCATGCATGTATGATGTATGATTTCCCCTGTCCATTTTCAGTATTAAATTATGCATTTAAAAACATCTTATAAAAAATAATTAATACTTGACAGTTTTTATGCCCCCCCCCCCCCCCCCCCCCCCCAACTGATGGGGCATATTGTTTTACCCCTGTCCGTCTGTCCGTCCGTCCCATTATGGGTGTATAGTTATTTTAGATAACTCCTCCTACCGTTTGAATGCTAGGAAGTTTTCACTTTGCTGGCTGTTTGTACATATATTGAAGGTGTGCATGTGGTCAGGGTTTTGATTTTTATTAATATTTGCTCTTTAGGGAGATAGTTGAACTTTGTCATTTTTGGGAGTATTTACTTGCATAAGAGGTGCATAGCGTTTCCGGATAACTCCTCCTACAGTAAACCATAGACCTATGTGCTCCCATGCTCAACTTTGTGTATTTTAAAATAACACTTTGCATCTGCATCTGCAGGGGCATCAATTGTGTCTCCCAGACACAATAATATCTCAAAGAAAGTCCTACATTGACTTTGTTACTTCAGAGTGGAGTGCGGGGGCATCACTTTGTCTAGTTTTATTTAATTAGAACAGTTTTAATGTAAAGAGAATGTTTTCTTTATGTGGAATGATAACGTTTTTATGCCCCCGCCCAAGGCAAGGGGGCACTAAGTGTTACCCCTGACCGTTGTCCTTCCATCATTCCGTCCATCCTATTTTCGTTTCAGCACTCTAACTTAAGTTTGCATCTTGCAATTTTTTTGAAACTCAAAACTAGCAGACATAGTTTGAATTTGGGCAGAGAGTCACTTACCTTTTTAGAGTTATGCCCCTTTTAACTTAGAAAATTTCAAAGCTTGAGAGGGGGCATTCGTGTACTCAGACACATTCTTCTTTTATTTTTATGAAATTTAGATGCAAGTAGAATGTTTCTTTATATTTTTCATCTGCTAAAAAATTATGTGAAATATTTTTAAAACAGGATAATTATTACTAGTGAACTTGTCAACTCCAGCTGACTGGTAGCGGTTATATATTTTTATGACGACAAATATTTATTTTTAGGTATCTGTCATTGCTCAATCCAAATGTATAGACTTATCCAGTAACATGTTTTATATGGAATTTTTCCACTGGACCACTCCAACTAATGATAGAGACAACTTAAGGTAAATTTAGGCAACAGCAGTTTACCCCGATGTTCAAATCTCATAAATCGATTTAGAAGTTACAAATCAAAGTAAGAAACAAAAATGAGGGAATCACTTCAAAAAAGAGCAAGACAGGTAAACGTCTTCTACTATGTATGCATCACCGCATGCAAATCCACACTCAGTCAAAATGTCAGTCTGGAATAGGACTTTATTTCTTGGAAAAAATAGATAAATTTAGTCTTTACATATTAAATATATTCTTATATTCACTGTAATTTATAACTTCAGTTCTTAATTCATTTTTCGGCATTGAATATTTTATTTGGACTTGAGCTTTGTACATCTGTGCAGTGTAGCAGAGAATATGATTTAAAAGACTTATATTTATTTCAATTTCTGCCATTTATGGGAAAATGATTCCCAAATATCCTTTGTTGATCGATTTCAATTTTTGAAGTTTATGGAAATGATTGGTTGGTTATGTAATAAGAATTTGTAGTTTCAAAATTTTCACATAACAGATAGAAAATATACATTTCATTTCGTATTTATAAATGTCATGACAGTATCTGCCTTGGTATAAGTCAAGCAACACTAAAGAGATTTAGTAAACATTATTACATTCCTCTCCCCCACTCCAAAAAAAGAAAACACACACACCCACACACACACACACAAATAAATAGAACCATCCTCCTCCCCCAAAAATAAAAAACAAAAACAAACAAAAATAAGTAAAAAAAAAATATATAAAGAAGGAATTGATTACAGTATGTATATATTTCTAGTTACTGTATGGTCACTGTGAAGGCAGCTGTAGAATATATGAAGAATGCAAACTTTGATCATTTACAGAATCCTAAATCAAAGGTTCAGAAAGAGGTAAGTACTTCACTGATTTAGCTTTTATGAATGATGCATTTTGCAGTTCTTGTATTGAAAAAGATGTGTAAGTATGACAAATATGCCTCTGCCATAAGCAAATGAAAAAGAAAAGTCATTCAAAGGACTGTAATTAGACCAAAGTAGATTAAATGGAACTAAACAGACTTGGTATGTTACTCCCAAAAATTAGTAAGCTTGAAAAATATATTGGCAGGTGAATCAGAGGCACTAAATGAAGTAAAATTGAAGATAGGTTCATAAAAACAGTTACATTTTTGAATGTAATAAGAATGGCTAGTTAAATCTAATGAAATCAAGTTTGGACCTTTTCCAAAAAAAATATAAATCCATCTTAATATGTAACCATTTGCACCTTTAAAAATGGTTTCTCGGAAAAATTAAGTTTTCCTTGCTTATTAGTCCCCTACTGACGAAGTCGAAGGGGACTTTAGGTTTGTTTCTCTTCTTTTCCTCTAAAATTCATTGATCTAAAACCTTAGTATCTGCATTTCTATAATAACACCATTATTTCTCTTGTAGATCAGTATAGATGAATTATCTACATTTCTATAATAACACCTTTACTTCTCTTGTAGATGAGTATAGATGAATTATCTGCATTTCTATAATAACACCATTACTTCTCTTGTAGATCAGTATAGATGAACTATCTGCATTTCTTTAATAACACCATTATTTCTCTTGTAGATCAGTATAGATGAACTATCTGCATTTCTATAATAACACCATTATTTCTCTTGTAGATCAGTATAGATGAACTATCTGCATTTCTATAATGACACCATTATTTCTCTTGTAGATCAGTATAGATGAACTATCTGCATTTCTATAATAACACCATTATTTCTCTTGTAGATCAGTATAGATGAACTATCTGCATTTCTATAATAACACCATTATTTCTCTTGTAGATCAGTATAGATGAACTATCTGCATTTCTATAATAACACCATTATTTCTCTTGTAGATCAGTATAGATGAATTATCTACATTTCAATAATAACACCATTACTTCTCTTGTAGATCAGTATAGATGAATTATCTACATTTCTATAATAACACCATTACTTCTCTTGTAGATCAGTATAGATGAATTATCTACATTTCTATAATAACACCATTATTTCTCTTGTAGATCAGTATAGATGAATTATCTACATTTCTATAATAACACCATTATTTCTCTTGTAGATGAGTATAGATGAATTATCTGCATTTCTATAATAACACCATTATTTCTCTTGTAGATGAGTATAGATGAATTATCTACAAATAACACCATTACTTCTCTTGTAGATCAGTATAGATGAATTATCTACATTTCTATAATAACACCATTATTTCTCTTGTAGATCAGTATAGATGAATTATCTGCATTTCTATAATAACACCATTATTTCTCTTGGAGATCAGTATAGATGAATTATCTTCATTTCTATAATTACACCATTATTTCTCTTGTAGATCAGTATAGATGAATTATCTGCATTTCTATAATAACACCATTATTTCTCTTGTAGATCAGTATAGATGAATTATCTGCATTTCTATAATAACACCATTATTTCTCTTGTAGATCAGTATAGATGAATTATCTTCATTTCTATAATAACACCATTATTTCTCTTGTAGATCAGTATAGATGAATTATCTACATTTCCATAATAACACCATTATTTCTCTTGTAGATGAGTATAGATGAATTATCTACAAATAACACCATTACTTCTCTTGTAGATCAGTATAGATGAATTATCTACATTTCTATAATAACACCATTATTTCTCTTGTAGATCAGTATAGATGAATTATCTACATTTCTATAATAACACCATTACTTCTCTTGTAGATCAGTATAGATGAATTATCTACATTTCTATAATAACACCATTATTTCTCTTGTAGATCAGTATAGATGAATTATCTACATTTCTATAATAACACCATTATTTCTCTTGTAGATGAGTATAGATGAATTATCTGCATTTCTATAATAACACCATTATTTCTCTTGTAGATGAGTATAGATGAATTATCTACAAATAACACCATTACTTCTCTTGTAGATCAGTATAGATGAATTATCTACATTTCTATAATAACACCATTATTTCTCTTGTAGATCAGTATAGATGAATTATCTGCATTTCTATAATAACACCATTATTTCTCTTGGAGATCAGTATAGATGAATTATCTTCATTTCTATAATTACACTATTATTTCTCTTGTAGATCAGTATAGATGAATTATCTGCATTTCTATAATAACACCATTATTTCTCTTGTAGATCAGTATAGATGAATTATCTGCATTTCTATAATAACACCATTATTTCTCTTGTAGATCAGTATAGATGAATTATCTTCATTTCTATAATAACACCATTATTTCTCTTGTAGATCAGTATAGATGAATTATCTACATTTCCATAATAACACCATTATTTCTCTTGTAGATGAGTATAGATGAATTATCTACAAATAACACCATTACTTCTCTTGTAGATCAGTATAGATGAATTATCTACATTTCTATAATAACACCATTATTTCTCTTGTAGATCAGTATAGATGAATTATCTACATTTCTATAATAACACCATTATTTCTCTTGTAGATCAGTATAGATGAATTATCTACATTTCTATAATAACACCATTATTTCTCTTGTAGATCAGTATAGATGAATTATCTACATTTCTATAATAACACCATTACTTCTCTTGTAGATCAGTATAGATGAATTATCTACATTTCAATAATAACACCATTACTTCTCTTGTAGATCAGTATAGATGAATTATCTACATTTCTATAATAACACCATTATTTCTCTTGTAGATCGGTATAGATGAATTATCTGCATTTCTATAATAACACCATTATTTCTCTTGGAGATCAGTATAGATGAATTATCTTCATTTCTATAATAACACCATTATTTCTCTTGTAGATCAGTATAGATGAATTATCTACATTTCTATAATAACACCATTATTTCTCTTGTAGATGAGTATAGATGAATTATCTACAAATAACACCATTACTTCTCTTGTAGATCAGTATAGATGAATTATCTACATTTCTATAATAACACCATTATTTCTCTTGTAGATCAGTATAGATGAATTATCTACATTTCTATAATAACACCATTATTTCTCTTGTAGATCAGTATAGATGAATTATCTACATTTCTATAATAACACCATTACTTCTCTTGTAGATCAGTATAGATGAATTATCTGCATTTCTATAATAACACCATTATTTCTCTTGGAGATCAGTATAGATGAATTATCTTCATTTCTATAATAACACCATTATTTCTCTTGTAGATCAGTATAGATGAATTATCTACATTTCTATAATAACACCATTATTTCTCTTGTAGATGAGTATAGATGAATTATCTACAAATAACACCATTACTTCTCTTGTAGATCAGTATAGATGAATTATCTACATTTCTATAATAACACCATTATTTCTCTTGTAGATCAGTATAGATGAATTATCTACATTTCTATAATAACACCATTATTTCTCTTGTAGATCAGTATAGATGAATTATCTACATTTCTATAATAACACCATTACTTCTCTTGTAGATCAGTATAGATGAATTATCTACATTTCAATAATAACATCATTACTTCTCTTGTAGATCAGTATAGATGAATTATCTACATTTCTATAATAACACCATTATTTCTCTTGTAGATCAGTATAGATGAATTGTATTACTTCTCTTGTAGATCAGTATAGATGAATTATCTACATTTCTATAATAACACCATTATTTCTCTTGTAGATCAGTATAGATGTATTGTATTATTTCTCTTGTAGATCAGTATAGATGTATTGTATTATTTCTCTTGTAGATCAGTATAGATGTATTGTATTATTTCTCTTGTAGATCAGTATAGATGTATTGTATTATTTCTCTTGTAGATCAGTATAGATGAATTAATGAAAAGAACTAGGGATACTTCTTTAAAAGATGACATAAGAAATGTAAAAGTAGAAACGGTTCAGGAGAGATTCAGGAAGAACTCCAGTAGTAACATTGATAATAAACTAGATTCCATATCAAAAGTTCTGGAGGAATCATCTCAAGAATGGGCACAAACAAAGCAGAAAGGAGCTAATAGTATATTTGGAGGTATAGTTTGTTGTCTTCTTAATCCGAGATGCAAGGGAGAGGTATTATTTTTGTGGATCTAAGTTGTTTTCAACAGACATAAATTTCACTTATTTCTTACTTGGGTAAAAGTGTCATTATATTTTGGGCTAAATTTCATTATGCTTTGGTTTAAATGTCATTATGCTTTGTTTTTTTTTTTGTCATTATAGGCCCATCTGTTACAGGATGTTTTTGGATGCACCACTTTCCATTTGTCCATCTGTTTGTCTGTCGTCCATCTATCCTCCCTCCCCACTTCATACAAAAGCTAGAAAATGCTTTGATCCAATTTTATGAACTTGTATAATATTTGGATTAGTGGATAACAGCTCTCGTTTGATTACGAACATTTTTGGATTTGTAGTTCCTGACTTATGGGACTTTAACCATCAGGTTGAAGTAAATTTTTTTGACATGTCACACCTCTACACAACTTGAGTATGGTCAGATTGATTAACTTGAAACTAGACTTTTTGTTGGGATAGGTAAAAGTTAGCTACCTTCCAACTTTGAAAGTTTCAAATTTTTCATTCCAAAATCTGGGACTTTACTCTTCAGATTTAATGCTATTTTTCACATTTTTACACTAGCTAAGTTTGTGTGTATAATTTTACTCCAAACTTTACAGCATTGTTTGGATGAGTGAAGATAAATTTCTTTTTGATTTTGAAAACATTTTGATTTCCTTTTCCAGAGTTATGAGACTTTAATCATCAGAGTAAAGAAAATTTGTTCAAATATTGTGCATAAGCTCGAGTAATTGGGGATCACTTTACCTTAAACTTTATTTGATTTTGAAAAAAATTGGATTTGTTTTTCCAGAGCTATGGGACTTCACTTGATTATAGCAAAACTGTGGAGTTATTAATGTTTGTAGTATTCTAATTTTTTGTGGGTGGAGGAAAATTTTTGACAAAATACAAATGTACAGTTACTTTGATAGTAGCAAATGATGAAACCACAAAATTAAGAAACCTCCAAATGTGTTTTTTTTTTACCTCCTATGATTAAAGTTGATGCTTTACCTCCTATGATTAAAGTTGATGTAAATGAAAATATATGAATCCACAGTAATACAATAAACAAAAAAAGTGCTATTTCATCTGACACAACTTTAAACATCATTTTCAAAAGAAATAAAAAAAAAATGTTTGTTGACATCTATTTAAACACTTAATTATTTTCTCTTCAGAGAGTTACCAACAGCTAAAGAAGACTGTACCTGATATTGTTCCTACTCAGGACCCCCGCCGAAAGAAAGAGCAGTTAGGGTAAGTGTGGGTAGAATATATTAACTTCTTGTTATTTCAGTATATAGTATAATTATATTTTTGAATAAACCATAGATCTACCCTGTAAATAAGAAAAAAACCATAACATGGAAAAATATGAAAAATTATGACTTTTTGGTATACATGAAAAGATATAAAAATACTAATATTATGAAAGAAATCTAATTTCTGAATGTTTTTATACGACCGCAAAAAAATTTTGCGGTCGTATATTGGTATGACGTTGGCGTCGTCGTCGTCGTTCGAAGACACATTGGTTTTCGCACTCTAACTTTAGTTTAAGTGAATGGATCTCTATGAAATTTTACCATAAGGTTCAATACAACAAAAGGAAGGTTGGGATTGATTTTGGGGCTTATGGTACCAACAGTTAAGGAATTAGGGGCCAAAAAGGGGCCAAAAATAAGCATTTTTCTAGTTTCATGATAATAACTTGTGTGTAAGTGTATAGATCTTTCTGAAATTGTACTACAAGGTTCCATATCACAAAGGGAATGCTGGGATTGATTTTGGGGGTAATTGCCTCCAAATTTTAGGAATTAGGGGCCAAAAAAGGGGCAAAAAACAAGCATTTTTCTAGTTTCATGACAATAACTTGTGTGTAAGTGTATGGATCTTTCTGAAATTGTACTACAAGGTTCCATATCACAAAGGGAAAGCTGGAATTGAGTTTGGGGGTAATTGCCCAAAACATTTAGGAATAAGGGGCCAAAAAGGGGCCAAAAATAAGCATTTTTCTAGTTTCCAGACAATAACTTGTGTTCAAGTGTATGGATATCTCTGAAATTGTACTGCAAGGTACCAAACCACAAAGGGAAGGCTGGGATTGATTTTGGGGGTAATTGCCTCAAAATTTTAGAAATTAGGGGCCAAAAAGGGGAAAAAAACAAGCATTTTTCTAGTTTCAGGACAATAACTTGTGTGTAAGTGTATGGATCTTTATCAAATTGTACTACAAGGTTCCATATCACAAAGGGAAAGCTGGGTTTGAGTTTGGGGTTAATTTCCCTAAACATTTAGGAATTTGGGACCAAAAAGGGGCCTAAAAACAAGCATTTTTCTAGTTTCCAGACAATAACTTGTGTTCAAGTGTATGGATCTCTCTGAAATTGTACTGCAAGGTACCATACCACAAAGGGAAGGCTGGGATTGATTTTGATGGTAATTGCCTCAAAATTTTAGGAATTAGGGGCCAAAAAGGAGCAAAAAACAAGCATTTTTCTAGTTTCGGGATAATAACTTGTGTGTAAGTGTATGGATCTTTATGAAATTGTACTACAAGGTTCCATATTACAAAGGGAAAGCTGGGTTTGAGTTTGGGGGTAATTGCCCTAAACATTTAAGAATTTGGGACCAAAAAGGGGCCTAAAAACAAGCATTTTTCTAGTTTCCAGACAATAACTTGTGTGTAAGTGTATGGATCTTTATCAAATTGTACTACAAGGTTCCATATCACAAAGGGAAAGCTGGGTTTGAGTTTGGGGGTAATTTCCCTAAACATTTAGGAATTTGGGACCAAAAAGGGGCCCAAAAAACAAACATTTTTCTAGTTTCCAGACAATAACTTGTGTTCAAGTGTATGGATCTCTCTGAAATTGTACTGCAAGGTACCATACCACAAAGGGAAGGCTGGGATTGATTTTGATGGTAATTGCCTCAAAATTTTAGGAATTAGGGGCCAAAAAGGGGCAAAAAACAAGCATTTTTCTAGTTTCAGGATAATAACTTGTGTGTAAGTGTATGGATCTTTATGAAATTGTACTACAAGGTTCCATATTACAAAGGGAAAGCTGGGTTTGAGTTTGGGGGTAATTGCCCTAAACATTTAGGAATTTGGGACCAAAAAGGGGCCTAAAAACAAGCATTTTTCTAGTTTCCAGACAATAACTTGTGTTCAAGTGTATGGATCTCTCTGAAATTGTACTGCAAGGTACCATACCACAAAGGGAAGGCTGGTATTGATTTTGATGGTAATTGCCTCAAAATTTTAGGAATTAGGGGCCAAAAAGGGGAAAAAAACAAGCATTTTTCTAGTTTCAGGATAATAACTTGTGTGTAAGTGTATGGATCTTTATGAAATTGTACTACAAGGTTCCATATTACAAAGGGAAAGCTGGGTTTGAGTTTGGGGGTAATTGCCCTAAACATTTAGGAATTTGGGGTCCAAAAAGGGGCCTAAAAACAAGCATTTTTCTAGTTTCCAGACAATAACTTGTGTTCAAGTGTATGGATCTCTCTGAAATTGTACTGCAAGGTACCATACCACAAAGGGAAGGCTGGGATTGATTTTGAGGGTGATGAATCATAAGGGGGTTCAAAAAATTTTGGGGAGGGATTTTTTTTCCTTTTTTTCCTTTTTTTTTTCCTTTAAAATTTTCCATTTTAAATTGGTTATTTCTGATTTATATATAAAAGCAAATAATAATGATATGGTTTGAATAGGTAAATTAAAAAATTTTAAGTTCTTGGACCACATTCATTCTGTGTCAGAAACCTATGCTGTGTCAAATATTTAATCACAATCCAAATTCAGTGCTGTATCAAGCTTGAATGTTGTGTCCATACTTGCCACAACTGTTCAGGGTTCGACCTCTGCAGTTGTATCAAGCTGCGCCCAGCGGAGCATTTTATTTGAAAATTAGATCTGGATTAAAAAAAAAATTATACTGGGCCAGTATCAGTTACCTTCAATCATGTTAATTGCTCTTATATACAGTGAAAATCTGGTTCCTAGTGTGCTGATTTTTGCTTGAAATTTTATGGCTATGGATGTTTGTCAAATGAATTAACAATATCGTCATTCCGTCCATAAACTCTGAATTTCTCAGACTTTTGCTCAATCTGAACTGCTCTTGAATTTATGTCACTTTTAAGTCAACAAGTAACATTTCATTGAAGGGGATCGTAGAAATTGATTTAAGAATTAATAAACTTTTTATGCCCCCGCCGTGGCGGTGGGGGCATTAAGTTTTACCCTTGTCCGTCTGTACGTATGTACTAACGTACGTACGTCCGTCCGTACGTCCCAAAATTGGTTTCCGTTCTCTAACTTGAGTTTGCCTCAACCAAATGTTGTGAAACTTATACACAATGCTTATAACCACAAAACACAGATCAAGTTTGAATTTTGGTGGCGTCACTTTAACCGTTCTAGAGTTATGCCCCTTTATAAATGGAAAAATTGCAAAATATTTAGTTTCCGTTCTCTAACTTCAGTTTGCCTCAACCAAATGTTATGAAACTTATATACAATGCTTATTATCACAAAACACAGATCAAGTTTGAATTTTGGTGGCGTCACTTTAACCGTTCTAGAGTTATGCCCCTTTATAAATGAAAAAATTGCAAAATGTTTAGTTTCTGTTCTCTAACTTAAGTTTGCCTCAACCAAATGTTATGAAACTTATACACAATGCTTATTACCACAAAACACAGATCAAGTTTGAATTTTGGTGGCGTCACTTTAATCGTTCTAGAGTTATGCCCCTTTATAAATGGAAAAAATTGCAAAATTTTTATTTTCTTCTAAATATCAAGTTTTTTTTAAAATTGGAGTTATCTTCCTTTGTCCATGATTATAGTTGAATCAACTACTATCAATGCTTTATACAATGCAATGTTTAATTTTGACTTCCACTGATAAAACACAGATCAAGTTGAATTTGGGTAGTGTCACTTTAACCATTATTGAGTTATGGCCCTTTATAAATAGAAAAATTGCTGAATTTTTAGTTTCTGTTCTCTACTTAAGTTAGCCTCAACCAAATGTTATGAGACTTACACACAAAACTCAGATCAAATTCAAATTTGGGTAGGGTCACTTTTACTGTTCTTCAGTTATGTCCCTTTATAACTATATGATATGCAAGCGGGGGCATCATCTGTGTCCACATGTGGACACTATCCACATTTATTTATTCCTTTGAAGGAAATTTTATGTTCAAAGTAAGATTTGCAATTACTTTATTTGAAATCGGTCAGTTTTCTAAAATCGAGGGCGTCATAAAGGGATGACATCATATCCCTGAACACAGATCATCCCACGATGTGGTAAAAAAAAATCGCTATTTCCAAGTCTTGATTGGATCAAACAAAACCAAGTTTTTAAAAATTAAGAGTATTTTTATGACGATAATAGCAGTATGCTGTATTTATGCAACGTGTCTGTTATTGCATAAAAAACAAGGTGACAGTAACTGGTCCTTGGTCAGTAGGCTTGGAACAAAGTTTTGAGTAATTAGAAATAGAGAGAAAAATTAACTTTAAAACTGTGACAGTGAGAGATTACTGTAAATTCAAAAATAAATATGACAATGAATATTGCAGCAATAGAAACTTTCATTTTAACTTTAACTTGTAATTATCTGCAACAGTATATACAGAAATCACAATAGTAGCCTTGCATTATTATTGTTTGTCAAAGATTTTCACCATAAGTATTAATTATGAATTTGAAATCTTATAGTGTAGTATTGGAAGGTTTCAAATAAATATCATTTATTTTCATTTTTATATATTAATTGGGCTAAGCAGGATTCATTTCTTTTATTTTTCAGAGATTTCTTGAGCTCATTACAAGATGACCCATTTGATATGTCATTTGGAAAACAGTCATGACAGTTTTTGACCTAATAGAAAAGCAATCTGTGAAAATAACTGTTTTTTTTTTATGCAAGTTATATGCAATGAATAATTTTTATGACACATTTTTTGTAATATGTGCATATGTAGTGATTTTCATTCAAATTTTAAAATTGCTATATTGGTTTTAACTTATGTTAAAACATTTAATTTTCACAAAATATCTATGTATTATTTTTGAATAATTAGCTTGTCATCAAGGTAATGAAATTTGGCAGGTGATTTACTTTAATTTCTTTAATTCTTAGCCAATTTAAACTTTCGGCTGCCAGTTGATTTTATTTTTATAATCATGGTTAGATTCATTTGATCTCATTTGATTCTGAATTGGCCAATATTCAATTATGAAGTCAAATTTTCATGCTTTCCTCTGATGTAGCTTTTGTGACTTCACCAAAAAGTCTAAAGGGAGTTCTCTTACGGTTGTGACCTTTTATCTATGTCCCAGTGGACTTGTTTTCAGGTGCAAAAGACAAGAATAATATTTCTCTGACTTTTTCTTTTTTTTACACAAAAGATAATTTTTACCATAAAAAGGATTGTTTACTATTATATTGCAATTAAATAGCAAGAGTTGATATCAAGCAATATTATATATGGTTTGATGTTTCTTGTTTCTCATTGGTTTATTTGATCATGTGTTTCCCAAATTGAATATATTTTGTATTTTTTAACTATTTTGACATATTGACTCGACGTTACTTCTTTTAAAAATGATATTGGCGCCATGTTACTAAAAATAGTAACATCGAGTCAATATCATTTCCCAAAATAGTAACATCGAGTCAATATCATTTTCAAACTTACACTATTTACATATGTAATATATAAATTAAGGACTTACACTCAGTCAATACGTTATATATGTACCTGTTAGATTATATTGAACCTCGGTCAATATATTCTGAACAGGTCCATATATAACGTATTGACCTCGTCAAAAGTCCATAATTGATAAATATTCAATTCTCACTTATTGTGAAACCTATAATTATATTGCTTGATACTGACATAATGTATTTGTCAGTTTATAAAGATCTCTTGCATAAGTTATTCATAACGGGTCAGTATCCATAAATATATAGGATCTTTTAAGTTTTTTAGTCAAATATTGGTGGTAGCATTTTGTTTTTAAATCATTTATGTTAAATCTTACATATGATTATATTTAATGATCACTTGTTTTTACAACTGGTAATATATTGATATTTACTTATAATTTGCTTTATTTGTTAAGTTTAGTATTAGAATAGTTGTCACAAATAAAAATGTTGAGAAATAGTGTACATGTTTGTTCTCATGATACATCTTCACACATCATTAACGGGTTTTACCTTAGTTGTTTTTGTTATGGCAACATGCAGAAGCAAGGGAGTATATAAAAGTTCATTCTGATATATGGTACCAAGCCTCATATTCATATATATCAAATAGCTCCTATAAGTAGTTATTGAGAAATATTCAACAGATTGAAATGTTACGGATGAACTGGACAGACCCACATACTAAAGATGTAAACCAGTTAACCCCCACTCCATTTGGGGTGATAGTAAACACTATACAGTATGGGTTATTCTCATTATTGAAGGCCGTACTGTTGCCTATAATTGCTTACATCTACTTCATTTGAACTTTGATGGATAGTTGTCTCATAGACAATCACAACACATCTCTATTTTTATACTGTCTAGAATGAAGCTTTAGATTTCAATGGACAAAATCTATGTATAACTGGTAAATTATTAAGGTGGATCAACACTAAATATTTCTTGAGACAGATTTTTTTTATATTTTGTGTAAATGCAGTTGATAAAATGCTCTTTTGAAAAAAACAATAAAAAATAGGGGTCACCGTGCTTGTTTGGTCAGTACCCTTATCCAAAGTATTGTGTATTTTCGAGGTTTTTTACATAGATATTACAGGGAAATCGGCATTTGTAAATTTTCCCTAGTTCAGAAAAAAAATCCATGAGACAGATTTTTCTTATTTTCTCTAGAATTGTAGCAAAGATATAGATAAAAAAAATAATAATAAAAAAACATAGGGTCACCGTGCATTTTAAAGAAATATTTCATCATTTGCTTGAATATTTTCGGATTTTCAGGAAGGGGAGATAACTGTATCCAGATTTCCCGGGAAAAGATTAATATAAATACTCATTACTAATAGAACTAAATTAGGTAAATTCTAGGTCCTTATTATTATTTGAAACACTTTTGTGTTACAGATTTCTACTACAAAAATCCATGATAACCAATGATATCTCCATAGCAACCAAATAAATCAATTTATGCACTTGGAAATTAGAACATAGAGAAACATGTAAATTTGAGCATATTTATGTAGTACAAATTATAAGTCTTTATTGCTTAAATTGATTTCACAATCTGTTATTCTCTGCAAAATTATATTAAAGGAATGCCCCATAAGTTATTTTGAGATATCTGGACCAAAATTTGGGTAAAATCCAATTTTTTTAACACAAAATCACAAATTTTGAGAAACTAATTTTTGTACTTGAATTTCAACCAAATTTATATACAATTTAGAAAATGTTATCAAAACTTGGTTTTATACACCAACAATTATTTTGATCTTGTAGATTCTTCTTTTCGGTTTAAAAAAAAATCACAAATTTTGAACAATGACGTACAGGTAGGGTTAGGCATTCAAAATCATATCCCGATGTCAAAAAGTTTCAATATGTTGTAAAAACTAACTTTCTGATCCCGTAAAGTGGAGTTGCTCTAGAGGCATGCATGCAGTGGAAGATCCAGAAGTAGGGGTCTGCACTGGTCATACTTCAGTGATTACCTACATATAAATCAACCAACCCCCTTTTTTTTCTGCGTGCATCAATCTCTCCGTGTGTCTCATAAAAATGTGCAAGTGGTTTTCTAGTTGTCATCTTTTTACCTTGTTTTCATGTCAGTTTTCGTTATCATGTATTTTGAGGGAAAATGCTAATTTTGATGTACAATATGTGGATTTTGAGGATTATTATCTCTTTTTGCACAATTGACCAAAACATATTTTGAGTACTAGTCACCAACTTACCGTTTTTACCATGTTACAGATTTTAGTACAAGCCATTTTGCTAATGATAAATGCCATAAGGTGACCTATAGTAGCTGACTTCTACGCCTGAATAGTTGTCTCATTGTCAAAGATATCACACGTTCTTATTTTTACAATACAAATTTAATTAATGTATACATTTAAACATTTTCACAAAAGAAAGCAAACAAAGACTTATGGCTGACCATGTGGTATGGGCTTTGCTTATTGTTGAAGACTTGATGGTTACCAATAGCTGTTTCTGCGTCATTTGTTCTCTAAAGGAGAGTTGTTACATTGGCAATCGAACCACATCTTTTTATTTTGCTGAACACACATTCTTTTTACAGGTTGATCAATAATTTGAAAGGGTCCTCTATATGTCAATCAGTAAACTGCAGCTTCTACTAGACACATAAATTGAAATTCATTATTTGAGTAAAAAAGAGATCAAAAGGTTAAAATTAAAATTTGTTTGCTAGAAAGAAAGATGTCAAATGGCTTTGTTGACTTTTATTCCCTATCCTTTGCATCCATGCCAAATTTAAAACAAATTGAAGAAAACACATGAGCTCAATCTGATGAAAGGGATCTGTATTATGTATCCAAGACATATATAATATTGCACTTATTCTGTTGCACAATATACAGAAAGAAATACAAGCATGAACTATAAGCAATTTTTATTAATTAATAGACTGGTAATTTAGTCCATTATGTATCATATTGTAAATATATATATATATATATATATGAATATATAATGTTTGAATCCAAATTAACATTTGCAATTTTCATTATCTGTCACGTAATTTTTTTTATCACAGTTGTTACAAACACTTATTGTATTACATATTGAAAACTAAAATGTCAGTAGGAACAGTAAAATTTAAAAACCATCAGTCAAGATAAATCTGATAAAACTTGTTAATGAAAAGAAAAATATTTGCAACCTGTATAAAATTTAAACCACATCAACTCTTATTGATCTTTGCATAGTGTTTGAATTCTTTATTTGATAAAATGATAAAAGGCAAAATAAATTCCAGCACATATTAACAGACATATATGCAAGAACAGTACTTCATCATAACCCTTCATGTACAAGCTTGGTCAAATAACAAACCAGATACTCACATGAACATGTATTTTCTCATATAAATTTTCTATAAATTTTCTTTAAAACATTTTTTTATAACAAATCATTCTCACAAGTCATTATTTAATAGTATCATTCTGAAAAAATATCTATTTTACAAATTTCGTTAATAATCATGTTAATTTTGGATAAAATTTTACCAACAAGTGTCGTAACAAGATATAATATTCCATTTTTAATTAATTGAAATTTGCCTCCTAAATTAAGATACGAAATGTGAACAGAAGACAAGAATTACCACAAACTGATGGCAACAGCTCACAAATCCTTAAATAAGTAGTGATATTATACAATGACAGTACAAATTATAAACATGTTATAAACTATATATCAGGTAGATATAAGTTTAAGTGGTCTTTTTCAAGTCTAACAAATTACATTCACTAATATGGATCACACAACATGTGTGTGGTACACAATATGATCATTCTTACTGTGGTAAAACAAAATGTCATCTTTGACTTTAAATCCTTCATACAATTAAAGAACTATAGACAACATTATAAAATTTTATAAAAAATTTTACTACTAAAATTCTATTTCCTGACATTCAGCATGGACGGATCAATCAAATTGCTAAAAAATAAGGTATGCGTAGTAGACTACAGGACCGGTCAAAATTTTCTAATCTCTTATCCAAAAATTTAGCTCACAAACAAATATTAACTTTAACATTTATGGTGCAATGTAGTATTTAAATCTTTATATTATATATATTGACCTGATTCTCCATAAGGTCAAAGATTTAGCATCCTAAGAAATAGGTTTCTTTGATAATAACAATTATTGCTAATTGATATAATAGAAGCTTGGTCACAGAAGCAAGTATGTCTGTAGATTAAAATTTCTGTTAATCTCTAGTAGCATTCACCATAATTGTTCCATTTAAATTCTACAATGTATATATAATCAGATTCATATGGAATCTAAAACAATTTACTCTTCATTTCATATAACAAAAAAATCATACACCTTCTGAATGATAGATTTTGATGTTGTAACACGTACTACACCTGAACTATTTTTTTGAGACAAAAGTGCCCTCAGTCCATCAATACCATTTCTTTGAATTGACAAAATAAAATGCTTCTTGCACAACCCAGTTGAAGCTGCCTTTTTGGCTAATTGTTTTGACATTACTTTATTTTCAACAAGAGCTTTGAAAGATAAGTCATTTTGGCAATATTTTGGGTACATTCCATCAAATGTATACTTACAGAAATGAGAAGCTAAATTTCCATGTGATCGCACCAGTTTAAATAAAGATTTACAGTCATACAAAGCATTATGTGCATCATAACTTTCCCCTAAAAAATCTGACACTAAATCACACTGCTTGTAACTTTGACGACCTGGATATTCACTCCTAAACAATATTCTTGTGTCAATGAACCCATTAAAATACAGGCAAAATTCATCCCACATCTTCAATTTATTCAATTGATTATACAGTATATGGCAGTCAAACGTTTTTATATTGTGTCCAACAAGTGTTGGTTTAGAAGGAAACTTGGACAAAAAAGCAATAAGATTAGTAAAGACTTCAAATGGTGGTGAACTTTCCACAGGAACTTCATCATAGTACATTTGCCCATCAAAGAATGCAAGTTTTGTTATATCAGATGCCTGTGGTGTTATCTTCTTTGATGGCATAACATAGGCTGAGAAAGTTTCATTCTCAGTTAAAGCTGCTATCTGTACAATATCTGACTGACGAGCTGAAATTTTTAAAATGATCTGTTAATCAAACTCAATAGATATAAGAAGATGAGGTATGAGTGAACTGTCCATCCAAGTCACAATTTATTAAAGTAAACTATTATAGATCAAAGTACGTCCTTTAATATGGACCCTTAGCTCACACCCAACTACAAGCTAATAAAATGCTCTGCTGCGGCACAGCTTGATACGACTGCAGAGGTCGAACCCTGAAAACCAGTTGGGGCAAGTATGGACACAACATTCAAGCTTGATACAGCACTGAATTTGGATTGTAATTAAATATTTGACACAGCATAGGTTTCTGACACAGAATGAAAGTGGTCTAAGAACTTTAAAAAATTTA